AGAAGCCTGGTGTTGTTGGTGATATAGAGAAGCCTGGTGTTGTTGGTGATATAGAGAAGCCTGGTGTTGTTGGTGATAAAGAGAAGCCTGGTGTTGTTGGTGATATAGAGAAGCCTGGTGTTGTTGGTGATATAGAGAAGCCTGGTGTTGTTGGTGATATAGAGAAGCCTGGTGTTGTTGGTGATATAGAGAAGCCTGGTGTTGTTGGTGATATAGAGAAGCCTGGTGTTGTTGGTGATATAGAGAAGCCTGGTGTTGTTGGTGATATAGAGAAGCCTGGTGTTGTTGGTGATATAGAGAAGCCTGGTGTTGTTGGTGATATAGAGAGGCCTGGTGTTGTTGGTGATAAAGAAAAGCCTGGTGTTGTTGGTGATATAGAGAAGCCTGGTGTTGTTGGTGATATAGAGAAGCCTGGTGTTGTTGGTGATATAGAGAAGCCTGGTGTTGTTGGTGATATAGAGAAGCCTGGTGTTGTTGGTGATATAGAGAAGCCTGGTGTTGTTGGTGATATAGAGAAGCCTGGTGTTGTTGGTGATATAGAGAAGCCTGGTGTTGTTGGTGATATAGAGAAGCCTGGTGTTGTTGGTGATATAGAGAAGCCTGGTGTTGTTGGTGATATAGAGAAGCCTGGTGTTGTTGGTGATAAAGAGAAGCCTGGTGTTGTTGGTGATATAGAAAAGCCTGGTGTTGTTGGTGATATAGAGAAGCCTGGTGTTGTTGGTGATAAAGAGAAGCCTGGTGTTGTTGGTGATATAGAGAAGCCTGGTGTTGTTGGTGATACAGAGAAGTCTGGTGTTGTTGGTGATATAGAGAAGCCTGGTGTTGTTGGTGATATAGAGAAGCCTGGTGTTGTTGGTGATATAGAGAAGCCTGGTGTTGTTGGTGATATAGAGAAGCCTGGTGTTTGCTAACTTAATCATTGTTCCCCTCGGGTTGAGATCCCTCTTCTCATCCCAAAATGGAGTGAAAGATTCTATTATTCTCCTATCCTGGACAGGTAGATCTATGTTTTTTCCTGACCTTAGGGTTGAGACAAGTTACGCATGCATTTTGCACATTCTGAAAACTATCTAAGTGACTTCACTGACATGACTCAAAAGTGGAACTACTTTTATGAGGTCACTCATACACTAGTTCTTCTGTTACTGAAATATAACAAACATATAAAATATCATGAGCATAATTTGCTGTTTTATCGGAATGTGCATTAGAATTATATTTTGTGTAATCACAATGCCTGAAGCACCCGAGGCTCATCAATATTCATATGCCATCCACATGTTTTTGTTTACACACAATATACTTCATCATGCACTTGGACAAGGAAAATAGGGTGAGAAAAAATTTATAATTCATTTCCTGTAGGGTAAGATTAGGTAGATCTCAATCCTCAAGGGAGATAATTAAGTAAACACTCAGCAAGCTTCAATTTGGACAACTTCTTCCTTGAGCTGTGATCCCCCTACCTCATCCTAAAGGAGGTGAAAGATTCTGTTAGTCTCATCCCACAGTTGGACGGTTGGAGAGTAGTGTAGGAGCAAAGGTTGTATTGGAGGATTTCCCCTTCAATACTTTGAAGTCACATCCACAATGCAAAGAATTAGGATACTTACACATGAAAGTCAGCTAGGTAAAATAACTATATTATTCACTCCTTTTAAGTGAGATAAGAGGATCTCAACCCTCAGGGGAAGATTATTAAGTTGCACACACTTGGCAAGCCTCAATAATCTTCACCCTGGGTTTCAAATAACTTAAATGCCATCAGTAATTCTATTTATCTAAAACCCCTTAAAACAAACAAATGTTGCTCTGTGCATCACATCTGACCAAAATTAGGCTAAACATTAAACCTAACAAAGAGTTTTGGGTAAACCATAATAATAGGGTCATGGAGTAATACTGACTAACAACTGGTGGTGTTAGAAGAACAAATTTATTAAAGATATATTCCCAACAGTTTCAATCAAAACCATAAAACAAACTGCCACAGCTGGTGTCTGACAAACATTATACTTAAGTAATACTTTCATGTTCAATCTTATAAGGTTTTCATGACCTTGAACCTGGCGCATTTTGAGAAAAATCACTTTCAGCTGCAAAGAAAACAATGTTATCAACATTTAACACACTTGAAAGTGTTTATCAGCAGTTTATTGAGCACACATTTTAATCTGACCTCCTTTACTTTGGCACACCCCAATGGACTGTTCCTGCTTGCCATCACAACTTGGCTACCTTCCCTGATGCTAAGATGTCAACAACCTAGGGGAGGTAACTGAGCTTTAGGTCTCTGAGTAAGACAGCACAAGTTATCCCCCTTTGTGAGTGAGACAATTTTACTGAACACATGCAAGACAATGATAAGAGATCCCAAGCTTACATGTTATTTATTACTCTGTTTTTTTGCATGTACTCTGTCATCCATCTGAATCTGTCTAATCACTCTATATCCACAAAGTCCGGGGCAGGTCTAATTTTACAGTGGATTCAATCCCCAAAGGAATAATGATAAATGAAATAGTGCATCCAAGAGTATAGCAAAACAATTATTTTAAATGTTCTTACATTATCTTAAATACCACATGTATCTTCCATTTTTATTTAGACATTTTGGACTCACTTAAAGTTTCCAGTTTGATAGTCAAATTGTTGCATAATTTTTTAATACATGGTATTAATGTGTGTACATCAAGGGAGATAAATGTGCCAAGAGTACTCAAGGTAATGCGTCATCAATCATTATTCTAAACAAGTATATTATCATAAATTGTACCCATTGAGTTGGGTGTAAAAGGATGTGGAGGAGTAGACAGGCTAGGACACAAGAGAATGAATAGATAAACCAAATAGCCTGTTTAATCCACATTAGTTTATCCTGTTTGCAACAGAACGACAGTTCTGGTGAACAGCTAGTTTATCAAAGATGTAGTCCAGATCTTAAGCCAAAACCACTATCAGGATTTTCCATTTACCTTTTATACAAAAGGAGGCTGGATTGTTCACATTTTGCAAATAACTGAACAACAAAGACTTTCATAAACAAAAGGAGGCTGGATTGTTCACATTTTGCAAATAACTGAACAACAAAGACTTTCGTAAACAAAAGGAGGCTGGATTGTTCACATTTTGCAAATAACTGAACAACAAAGATTTTCTTAAACAAAAGGGCCATGGTCCTTAACAGTAATCTGATAATTGATGAATGGATGGACAAACCAAAGAATTCCCTGATAGTGGTTTGACAAATCTGATAAATTCAAAGTGTGAACATTCCTTGAAAGGATCAGAGACTCATAAATGGTAGATTCTGTTCATAAACAGTTGTACAATCATGTTACAAAATGGCTACTGTGGTTACCTTGTTGAAGTTTTGATCAGACTGAAAAATAACAACAAATTGTCTCTTCCTTTTCCTTAAAAAATTGAAGTCCAACTATTATTTTCTATTGATGTATATCAACTTGAGAAGTAGTTCAGACTTTTTGATCTGGATGAGTAACGTTGGAGCAAAGCCAAAAAAGAAGGATTTGGTCAGGACAATCTCAGGTTCACTTCATGCATGTTTGATATCATGACCATTCCCTGATAATATTTCAAGTGTAATTTGGTTGAAATCTACTCAGGCATTAAGAAGGAGTAGTGTTTTGAAGCAAAATATTGTCTAATTTCCCCTTAGGATCAAATCAAATTCTGAATTCAACAAATGATTACCCAATAGTGCATCATTGAAATCCACCAAGGTATGAAAGAGGAGTAGGGTTTTAAAGAAAACGTTTACGCATGACACATAGTGGGCGGTGCACAACGACAGATAAAGCACAAAGGCTGTAAACAGGTTTACCTATCTTTACATGTAAATCTCAAAAAATAAATTGTCAATCCTCAAAGCAATGAAGTACAGAAAATGCAGTTTTGTTTATCATGTTCTCTCAGGAAATTCACCAAACTTTTGTCTTTACTTCTCTTCAAAAAGTCTAAAATGTCTGTATATGATTGAAGAGATATAGAAGAATATATTCCTCAATATCAATATCCTCACTATCCCTCACTCATAATAATTTGCTTCTCCATAAAAGAGTGTGTAGTCATGGTGGAGAGTCACCACAGTGGAGAGTCACCACGGTGGAGTGTCACCACGGTGGAGAGTCACCACGGTGGAGTGTCACCACGGTGGAGAGTCACCACGGTGGAGAGTCACCACGGTGGAGTGTCACCACGGTGGAGAGTCACCACGGTGGAGTGTCACCACGGTGGAGAGTCACCACGGTGGAGTGTCACCACGTTGGAGTGTCACCACGGTGGAGAGTCACCACGGTGGAGAGTCACCACGGTGGAGTGTGGGGTGAATCAATTTTTCAATCCCTCCACGCTAGGGCTCTCCACCAGCTAAGGTGGAGATCGTACCTCCACATGAACGGTAGTGTAATAATGTTAGTAGCCTTAATTATGACTTATACTGCCGCAATTTAATTGATAACCCATCCTGTCGATGTGGTCATAATGTGGAGGACTCAGAACATTTGATTTTCCATTGTCCAATATATAATGTTAAAAGAAATACAATGTTTAGACACTTATATTGCATACACATATTACATATGAAAGTCTTTTGTATGATGATAGTTCTTAAGCTGTAAAATCTAATGGTGTAATTTTTAAGCATGTTCAGAACTTTATTGTTGATAAAAGATTTTTCTAAATACAGGTCAATATATAATGTCATCTGCCTTAGTTGTTGACTCCTAAACCTTTCTTTTTGACTTCTGGATCCCTTTTCTATTTTCTGTTTCTTTTTCTGTTATAATACCTCATATAATATATTATGTACTGGTCATTGCAAGTTCATTACTACATTTTGTATTTGTATACTTGTATTATGGTAGGACATTGATAAGTAGTGATAACTTGCGTCTGATCCTTATGTATATGTTTAAACTAAAGTTCAGAATAAAATAAGTGGCATTGCTATTCCAGTCAGTCTGAGGAAAAGACCTTACCTTTAAAACTTCCTTCAAATCCTTAAGCTCCAACACATCCTCACCCTGTATTAAAGAGAATGTCTTAAATTAAAAAAAATAGGTCAAAATGGAGCAATCTATTTTCTATGGTCCATTAAATATGAACGGGCTCTAGTGAAGCGTAGGGAAAAAAAAGCAAAAAAGGAAAGACAGTTTCCTTAAGCTAAGGATGTAATTTCTCAATCTAACATGGACTCGTCATTCCAGTTATGTGTTGATAATGATAGTGACAGAGATGCTGACAATAGAACGGCTAATGAATACATACATACCTCCTTCTGTGTGTCCCAGACATTCAATGTATCAATGTGTGTTAGACAGTACAAGTCCTTTTTCTGTTCCCCGCACCAACCAATTTTTGCCTGTTACAAGTAACACAGTGACGTTCAACCATTACATTTTAATCAAACAATGGTAATCTTATAATCATCAAAACAAATTTTCTAAACTTTTGCACTCAAAATATCTTCAGTTTGATACAATTTATGTAAGTGATAATCCTGAACTCTAAAACTGGGGTAACTTCATGTTCTTTAAATATATTTTTTGAAGACTCAGTTTGCAGAGAAAACTTGCTGGTAATTGTCCTGAACTTTTACATGTATGACCAGGATAAAGCAGGGTACTGACCACAGAGGACTCAGAGTTGAGGGTCAGTTTGATGGCATCATCCTCTGTTGTCTGACCAAGGTCAAACACACACACCAGACCATCTGTAGAACCTGTGGCTAAACAATCAGGATTCTCAGGGTGAAAACAGACCTGGAACAGGTAAATCAAGGTAGATTTAGATACAGGCAAAGTATAAATAAACAGGTGGACACAGATAAATTAACTAGCTTCCTTACAGTGTTTAACATCTTCCCTGGGGTAAAAATGCAGCTAAATACTAACAAACATAAGTATATATTACCTGTGTGATATCGTCCTGGTGAGACTCGTTGTAGGCCCCCATCAGACTACCTTGCCTTCTGTCCCTTCAACAACAGATAATGAGATATAATACAGGAGAGACATCAATATCTACATCTTAAATATGTGTAGGCTAATTCATACAAAATATCTGAAGATGTAGTGCATGGTCATCAGTTACAGAAGTCACCAGATTTCATCATTTAAAATATCACAAATCCAAACCTAGTTTCATCTAAACCATCAACGCATCCAAAAGTTTTAATACATATGTACTTAATTACTCTGGTAGGTTCTTTCCAATGTCATCTTTTCTGATGCTAAAATATCTTTTCCATGCAAAAGAAAAACCAAACAGAATATTTTATATTTCTTAATGCATATTGCCTACATTTACTACTTTGCGATCACTTACTTTCATATTTTTGTCACTCATCAAATAGTGTAAATGCATAGCAACACATAGATGACTTACAGAACTGCTGCCAAAATCACTTTGTCACTCAACAGCCATACATGAAAAGCTTTAGATATTAACTATCATGTAAGAAATGGAACCTTGATTGGGACCAAACAGATACTATTGTAATTAAAATATAACCTAATAACCAAATGAAAAAGATTTCCAATGGTAGGATTTAAAGTTTTACACTCACCAAAAGATGATGTGAGTGTCAGAATGTTTATTCTTAGGCTCTGTGCCTGCACACACAACACGATCATTAGAGTTGACATCAAAACTCGTGAAAATATTGTTTGTTTCATCGTAACCTGAAAATAATTACCAAACATTTAACTCATGTGATTATTATTGATGACCATCTACAAACTTTGTCTCTCTTCAAATGTTTTTTCCTGTGTCAGTAATTAATCCCACAACAAATCACAATTATTAATCCAAAAGCAAATCAGTTATTAATCCTACAACATATGCAGTTATCAAACCTATAACAAAACAAAGTTATTAATCCCATGAATATTCATGGTTTTTGATCCCATAACAAAGAACAGCTTTTAATCTGGTTTGTTTTTCTTGTAAACTAGAATATATGTGTTACTTTTTCTATCTCTTTGTTTCGTGATCATTCATATTTGTAACTTGGTCACTTGAATACATGTTCCGACCCTGGTGATGGTCTGGTTTATAATAACATTTTAAAGTTTCAATCAACTTAAACACTTAACCCCTCCAATTCATATCACTAATACATATTAACTTTCAGTCTTTGTTTTGGTGTTTCATGGTTTAACAATCTCACAAAAACCAAGGTCACATAAGAATGGCTACTAAGACAAAGACTTTGTTCAGTGTCCATCTGATTCAGTAGCTTATCACGGAACTAAATAAAGTTTTCAGTCATTATAACAACTCTAACAGAGAAAATCTACCTTCAAATGTCTGTATTGGATTCTTCATATTGGTCCTAGTGTCCCAGCATCTGTAAGGAATTAAAAAATGTACCAGTTGTGTTTGTTATGGTTCTGACTTATACAGAAATAATCAAAATATAATCTGTCCAAACCATTAATTCAGTTAGGCTTAATTAACACAGGTGTAAACTCTCTGTGTGATAAGCATATTTTCCATTTCTTGATGGTAACATTCCTCCTTCACAACCTACTTACTGATACTCATGGTCTTGTAAACATTTTGATATATCAATATTTTGCATATTTGTAGACAACTGTCATATGCATATACATTACTGAATGGACAATTAGCTAAAGGTTCAACAAAAGTCAATAAAATGACAATACTTGTATCCCCCTCCTCATCCATCCCAAACCCTTATCTGTGTTTCCTTCCACTAACACACTTACTTGATTGTCCTATCAAAGGATGAGGTATAAAGGAGATGGTGCTCTGCTTTCCCAAACTGTATTCCTGATATCACATCTGTATGGGCTACAATATACAAGGGGAGGCAACTCAACAAAATGTTTACACAGAGTTTTTTATGTAACATCCCTAACCCCATACATCAGATCAAACTGAATCCACTGCCTGTAGACAGAGAAACTCATTTTTTGTTTCTTGCAGATGACAGTCACATACATAGACTCTAGCTATCCATCATTATTATCAGTTTTCATTTAGACAACAATAAGCCAGTAAGAATTTACAGTCCCATTATGACATCACAATTAGGACCTAGAAGGAAAAACAATCGTATTACCTGTACCAGTAAAATCCTCACCTGTGACATGTTGTGTACCCTTTAATGTACCAGTGCCAAAGTTAAATAGTCGTACTGTATGGTTACTACTGGTAGCAGCCAGAAGTTTTTCTGTTGAATCACTGAAACAAAATATTTCAAGGACTTTAAACAAGTGTGTATTACTTGTGAAAAGAAATAATGATATCAATATCTGACTGCTTAAGCAACTGTATAGCTACATCAAGATAGGTTACATATCAAATAAGACATGGTAAAATATGGAGACACTAATCAACCATGTCCCTGTAGATATTTTCTGATATCAAGAACAATCACCTGTGTTGTACAGCAAGATCTAGTACATAGATGTCTTTTTGAGATAATTCAGACTGTCTTGTTAGTTTCAGTTGTGCCAAAATTTCTGTTAACTCTGACGTATCTGCCATAGCAATGGTCTTCACTCTCCTGACGTACAACTCCCTGAAGCAGCCCAAGCTATCTGTACATCACATCAGCCGTCTGTAATGAAAAAATTGTTGTCACAGGAAAACAATAACACTAAAGGAATATGCGAATCACTGACAGCCATATGACTGAATGTGTATGATTTAACCCCACAGAGACATTTTACAGTGGTTCTTAACGCATTTCCTCTCTCCCATGAGGTGTCTAGATTTAAATTTGTCTGTTGTTGCAAGATTTCCTGATTTTCACTCCCCAACCCTGTCTGCGGATCGTATGGATCAAAATTGGGGTAATCTTCCAATTTCAGAGATCCTGCTAGGAAGGTCATAAGTAACCTTGCTATATTTGTCACATTGATAAGTCAGTGACTGATTGACATGGGTCTAGAAATTGGCATGGTATGCATGATATCATGATGACTGGAAACTTTTCCATTCTATCAATTTGACAAAAATAGGTTGAAACGCATTTGTCTTTGAAAAAATAATTGATGAACACTGGGGTTTGACACATAGGTACATTTAAATTAGTAAAGGAAAATGTAAGACATGAGAAGGATATTGGCGTAACTATCGATGAGGAGTTAAATTTCAAAGCACAATACATAACATTGTTAATAAGGCAAAAAGTATAGTTGGACTAATAAGATCATTTGTTTATGTTGATGAGTCAATGTTGGGATTGTTGTACAAAGCCTTTGTTAAACCTCATCTTGAGTATGCAGTAAGTGTATGGAGCCCATCTTGAGTTGCAAATATTGAATTGATCGAGAAGGTACAGAGGAGGGCTACAAAGCTAATCCCTGGACTTAAGAACTTATTGTACGAAGAACACTTGAGGAGATTAAATCTCCCAACACTTTAACATTGCAGAATCAGAGGAGATATCATAAATGCTTTTAAAATAGTAAAACATATTTATGATAATAGAATGACAGAAAACTTTTTCCAGATGGACACTTCTAGTTAAACAAGGAGTCATTCAGATACTGGATATAAAAAGGAATTTCTTTAGACACAGAATAGTAGACACATCGAACAGTTTACCGCAACATATCAGCGATGCAGATAGATAATAAATAATAAATCCTAACGCACCGTATTATTACCGTTTAGGTGGAAAGTCCTATAACAATTAATGTATTAATGACTGGATGGACACAGTGATTTGCTATGATGGATCAGATATCATGATTTACTACAGATATGAAAATTACCCTGTTAAATAAATATTTGTTACATGTCATTTTGGTTAAAAACTGCATTATTACTACTGTACTGTACGCGCTGAGATGGTTACTGGTATAATTCAGTTTCTTTAAACGTACACAGTTTCGTCAGTAGTGTGTTTATTATGAAACATAGACCTTTCAATAATCTGCAGTTTTAAAATCATGACACTACATACAGTTGATCAAAATCATACCTGTTTTTCTACAACACGTGTGGAATCAAAACAATTCTAAACCGGAAGCACCACTGTGCTGACTAAATCATGGATTAATTTACGGTTAGTTTGCTGGTACTGACTAAATTGCGGATTGTCACGGCCATGTCAACTGAAATTTTCTTCTTGCGGACGAGTATAAAACATCCGACTTAATGTATTTCAACATTGCATTCTTTATTTTATTTATTCATTGCTATATTTTTCCTCTATAAAGTTGTGATGTAAATATATAGTTTGTGCAGAAATGTAGTTTATGCGAATCTATACACATAGGGAAAACACATCCACACCTCCGGTTCCATCTTTTTATTCTCTCTCCTTTTTTTTATCTCCGTGCCCCGGAGAGTTACAAACAAAATTGTAAGTGCTACATTGTATGTGAATTATCTCCCCTCACCCAATGACACTGCATCTGCGCTACACCCATTTATAGGTAATTACACAACATCCCCCCCACGCAAAGTAAAATTGAGAAACAATTTTATCATGGGTGTACGGAGATACAATGACATTGGATGTAAAGGTGAAAAGGACTCGTTATACAATTTTACAAACATTACAATATTATAAATGGTAAATATACTTGTATGAAATGGAGTAAAATATAGCATTCTGAACAGGATGACCTTTTGACACAAGCTAGTGTAAATACTGCTACCATAACTGGGTATAAGACATAATTCATCAGACCTGAACACTCGGAGAATCCCACTCTCAAAAATTGTATGCAAAAGCATTGTATAGGAAAATTTGAGCATTTACAAAAAGGTACGGTCAAAATGACAATCAAGTATACTCTATACCCTGGTGTAGTCTTAAGAAATTACCGATCACACAACTATAATTGATTATACTCAAGCATCCATAAATGGCAATATTGATCTAGACATAATTCAGCAAAACTTATGAACAAGAAAAAGGTATATAGTGTCATTCATAACTCATATCAAGGACTATCAGCATATAATATTCGAAATTGAAAATCCATTTAAAATAAGATGCGATATACTACCTGTATATGAAAATATATCAAAAACATATGACATGCATATGGCTACAATTAGGCGCAAAATCCCTCTGGCATCATCAACTGCAATAATTCATAATTCAATATTAGCAATGTACCAAAAAGAGACAAAATTGTAAGTGCTACATTGTATGTGAATTATCTCCCCTCACCCAATGACACTGCATCTGCGCTACACCCATTTATAGGTAATTACACAACAAAGTAATGGAGTGGTCTTTTTATGTATATTCACCATTTTCCTTGTTTATTTTTCATGCTAATAAATGTTGCATCTTCATCCCCTCAATTCCAATGCACTGGTAATTCCAATAAATTACATTGATATCTTAATTACCATCAGTCCTGACTGGTCAGAATTCTCCTTTAGCTTGTTCACTAGAACAGCAGAATTTTAAGCCAAGTGTTGTGGGTGTGATCTACAGCAGAGATACACGATTCCTGGTCTGTTGTATCATGTTTTATATCCTACCACTTCAGCTTTAATTATATTTAAATATTCATAAAGATATAGAATGTGGACATTGACATCTGAGCAGTCATGCATTTTGTTTAATTTGGATTTTTCTGGTATATAATGTCTTTAAGTATTTATGTACCAATAAAAATATCTAATATTTGAACTTTACTTAAACCAAGTGACCTTGACATTTGACAAAGTTCACATTGATCAACTTATCTTCATAATTTCATAAAGAAAATGTGACTCTGATCTGTAGTTAACAAATTAGTTTACTTCATGACATAATAGAATATTTAACCAATGAGTATGCATAGCTCACCTGGTATTCTATGTTCATCCAAAATACATTAACACATACATCATTGGCATTCAAAGTGGGCACATCTAATCACTTTAATCCATTCTTATACTAAACTCTATACAGCGAGAGTAATGACCTGGATTACAGGTAAATGTCATTTCTTTTTTCTCAAAATTTGTCCATTTGTTACCTAGAAATACCTTTCCACAACATATCCTGCTTCTCAGACTTTTGGTTCATCATAAAACAAAACTTTTCACAAGTTTTGACAATCTGATCCCTGTGACCTTGAATTTGGTTCAAGGTAATTTCTTTTTTTCAAACTTTGCTGGGCCTCATCCTAGAGACTTACCAGTCAAACATCAAACTTCCTGGTTTTTGTTACTCAGAAGAAAATGTTTAAAGGTTTTAAGAAATTTGACCCTTCTGACCTTCAATTTTGGTCAAGGTAGTTTTTTTTTTTTTTTTTTTTGCAAACTTTGTTGGATTTCATCCTAGGAGCCTATAAGCCAAATACTATGCTTACGCACATTTGGTCGTTATCAAAAGTTGTTCTTGGTTTTAACAAATAAATTGAATTCAGTGACCTTCAATGTGGGTCAAAGTAATTTCTTTTCACAAACTTTGTCAGGTTCATCCAGCAGGTCATCAGTGAAATACAGTGACAATTGGTTGATTGGTTTTTGAGAAGAAGTCGTTTGGATGGAATAGTTACTAGATCACCTCTTAAGCTCACTTGGCTCTTTGGGCAAGGTGAGCTAAAAACATTCTAAATTCCAACTGCACATCTTGTTTCACAATGTATAATCAGAAATTTCAGACAGTTGGTCTTCTAGAAGGGCCTAAGATGATGTATTTTTGACGGTATATTCCTAGTTATAATTTCAGTAATGACAAGCTTGATCTGGGGAACTTCTGTAACCCCCTATTGCTCGTCAGATTACTTCTGATGAGCCTGGATAACATGGATTTGTTACTAATGATATAATACACAAGATAAGTTGAAGCATATATACATCTTGTAAGAGTTGCTCTGACCCATGTCATATACTACACCATTTGTAACAAACCCCTGTACCACATGAATTGTATTAGTGAATACCCAGAAATTTTGTTTCCGTTAAATTTTCACCCTTTTCGGCCATAAACAGAGGGGATGAATTTAAAATGTGCTTGAAAATATTTTACATTTATTTAACACTTTGTAATCCTCTGAGGGAAAAATGAACACCAGACAAGTTCATGCATAATGGTACAAGGGGAAACTAACCTGGGTCGAAAAACATCCCAGTATACAGTATTTGCCGGTCTGTCTCCTCCGATGCCCAAAATGTTACTATTAAATTGCTCATAAATCAGTTTTTTCATATTAACAAAGAGGCCTCAGTAATCAGAATGACAAGAGAACACGTTTGTAGAGTATCAGTGGATTTTATTGTCACAGACAGGTTGATGTGACCACAAAATCAGGCTAACAGACATACTGTGTGATAAAATTAATATTTACAGAATGAACAAACATGGTGAATTCAATGTTTAAAAACAAAATGATTTCTCTCAAAATGTACATGTTAAATCAGATATCATATTTAAAAGAGAAAATATGACAACAGCTTTCTATTATAAAAGAAATAATGATCAACATTAAAATGAGTGAAAACATTGAACTTTGATGACTTGAACTATAGTCAATATTGTCACCAATTTACCTGTAAGTTTAAAAGAGAAAGAGTCTCTTGTTTCAGGGGAAAAAAACTGCCTAGGATAAATTCAAAGAACCTTAAGTCATATTTTTCTGAGTCCAGTATGTTTGCTTCATTTCTTGCTTGACAACATGTAATCCTGCCATTTCAACCCCATTAATGCCCCTGGTTGATAAGCTATGCCAGACCATTATTTTCTCTAACAATTGCAAATGTAACCCTAAAACGTAGTATATAAGTTCTGTTATACATTGATAGTAAATTCATTTTTTCCATTAAAATATAAAATGTATTTGTTATATTTTATATCTTTAATTCCATTTCTTTTATGATAAACTTCTTTAATTCCATTTTTCTTTAAAAATATATTTTTCATTACTTAAACTTTTAAAAAATAAATTCATCACTGCATCTCATCTTGTAATTTTAATGCAAAATTCATCAAAATTGTTAATTCTATTTGGATTCCTCAACACTTCAGCTCAGTTTGTTAAACTAAAATTAAAATCTACTGTTTCCTGAACAGACTTCAACAAAACATGTTTAATTAATAATTAATGCCAATTTGATATCATTCAACTGATAATTTGAATAAGTGAAAACTGGTAATTTCACAAAAATTGGTCAAGTTCAATAGCAACATCTCTGGGAAAATAAATTAACAATTTGAAACTTGACCAGCATATTCTCATCACACAACTTCGTTTCAAATTTCAGTTCAATATCTCAGGCCATCAAAAGGTTTTTTTCTTGAAATCTTCAGTGTACTGTGCAGTATGAAATTGGTAGTTAAAGTTATACTAGACTTCCTTCAGCCAAAAAGTAGCTATACCATAATATTACCAATGTCATCTTCAGTGAGACGTTGATCATCTTGGTATCACTTGGTCTAACACTTCTACCCTCCCGAGTTATATGATGTTCCCCATCCCACCATCCTTAGTGATATAATTATGATTCCCAGCCCAATCCTCCCACATAATATACTGTTTCCAACCCACTCCACCCTTCCTGAGTGATGTGTCTATCATCTACGCCGTCGCGGACTCTTGCTACGACTGCGAGGACCTCCACGTGGCGGTGGTCCTCGTTCTGGACGCCTAGGACCACTGCGATCCCGGAATGAGTCCTGCTCATTGCCTCCTCGACGTGGTGGGCTAGCACGTCTGTAAGGAGATGGCTGAAAGAGAAAAATTCAGTTATCATTCTAACACTGATCTAATGTCAAAATTGAAATTAACCACAAAAACTTTACATATATGTTCTTGTCTATGCATTAACTATGAGGTATGTGCTTAAATCTTAATCAGTATTTACAATTAAATACTCATTAAATGATCAGGTGTGAACAAGTCCTTTAATTTTACATTGCAAGATACAAACCTATAGTTTGGCGGTAACATGTAAGGAGGCAATACTTGGGGAATGTTTCTTATTTCTCCAATCAAATACAAAACAGTAATGGATATAAATTATACCTGTCTACGTCTGTCTGAGTCTGCTCTGTCAGATCTGCCTCCTCTATCACGATTCACAGGCCGATTGTCTACTGGAGACTCCCTGGCACGTATCTTCTCCCTAACAGCTAACCGTTCTTGTCTTTCCTTCTCTCTCTGCTCCACCTGCAAAACACAACTTAATATGTAGTAATCATTTACAGGTAATAAGACACATGTGGCCTGTAGTTTAATTGAAGCTGTACATTATCCTATCAATTTCAGTATCTTCATTGAAATTCAGTTTCTAGTTTCTTTTGCAATATTCTCAGATCTTTCATAATATATTCCTAGTATAGGTATAAACCGAGACATATATAGTCTTGTATGACATATTTAGCTTGTGTTGGCTAACCTGTGCATCTGTAAGTGGTAGCCAGTATATACACGGTGTTGTTTTAGTTTTCTTGAACAGGTCATCCAACAGTTTAGCTGGAGGCTCATCTTCCACTTTCTTCTCCGGTACAGCTGCAATAGAGATCAGTCAGTAGTAGTAAAACTTCATGTATTTTACAAGTCTGAGTCAGTAGTAGTTAAACTTCATGTATTTTACAAGTCTGAGTCAGTAGTAGTTAAACTTCATGTATTTTACAAGTCTGAGTCAGTAGTAGTTAAACTTCATGTATTTTACAACAAGTCTGAGTCAGTAGTAGTTAAACTTCATGTATTTTACAACAAGTCTGAGTCAGTAGTAGTTAAACTTCATGTATTTTACAACAAGTCTGAGTCAGTAGTAGTTAAACTTCATGTATTTAACAACCAGTCTGAGTCAGCAGTAGTAAAACTTCATGTATTTTACAACAAGTCTGAGTCAGTAGTAGTTAAACTTCATGTACTTTACAACCAGTCTGAGTCAGTAGTAGTTAAACTTCATGTATTTTACAACCAGTCTGAGTCAGTAGTAGTTAAACTTCATGTATTTTACAACCAGTCTGAGTCAGCAGTAGTTAAACTTCATGTATTTTACAACAAGTCTGAGTCAGTAGTAGTTAAACTTCATGTATTTTACAACCAGTCTGAGTCAGCAGTAGTTAAACTTCATGTATTTTACAACAAGTCTGAGTCAGCAGTAGTTAAACTTCATGTATTTTACAACCAGTCTGAGTCAGCAGTAGTTAAACTTCATGTATTTTACAAGTCTGAGTAAGTAGTAGTTAAACTTCATGTATTTAACAACCAGTCTGAGTCAGTAGTAGTTAAACTTCATGTATTTTACAACAAGTCTGAGTCAGTAGTAGTTAAACTTCATGTATTTTACAACAAGTCTGAGTCAGTAGTAGTTAAACTTCATGTATTTTACAACAAGTCTGAGTCAGTAGTAGTTAAACTTCATGTATTTTACAACCAGTCCGAAACAATTTTATTCCAACCTATATCAATCACTCTTATTTGCCCACATGGAAACACACTTTTGGTCTTACTGTGGAAAGAAATGAGAGTACCAGCGGAAAACCCACATGGTTGGGCAGGTGACGACATACCTTTTCATGTCCATTTGAGGAAATGAACCCTAACCCTCAAGGTGAAAGGCAAGTGTATAACCACTGCAACACCAACCACCCATCAGTCAGTCATCTTGTGAAATAATGAAGCCTGACATATGGACAATTTGAAATAACAGGGTATTCTGTCTTATTCAGTTCAATTTTCCCCCCATATATGTCAATATAAAGATCAATATACTTGAATACACTGCAAGGACATTTGAGAGAAAAATCAGGATCTACTCTGACTGTAATACATACCTCTTGGTTGGCAAACCCCTAGTGTTATAAATAGACATGAATTTCTAACAAAGGTTAATAAATTTTGAAATATATTCAGATTCTAACCTTTCCTATCTCGTCTTTCTTTCTCCCTGCTACGTTCACGGCCTCGTCGAGATCGTCCCGGAGATGGAGACCTTGACCGTCCTGCTCGCCTCCCAGAGGGCCCTAGTTCCCTTTCTCTGGACTGACGGATCTTGTCTCTGTCCCACTCCCGGATTGGTGGTGGTTTAGCTTCCTCTCTTTTCTTCTGTGCCTCTTTCTCCTTTTTCTCTCGTTCTTTCTCCCTTTTTTCCTTCACTTCCTGTTGGCTATCTCTTCGGACAGCAGCTGCCTTTGGTCCCAGTTCTTTTTGTTTGTGAAACTCAATCTAAAATGTCATTTGTACAAATCAGTAATGAATTCAAAAACAAAACCTGTTGAATTCCAGTTAGGCGTAAAAGAATTAGGATAGAATTTAATAGTTTTGTTAACAATTTCTGCACTCCAAGAGATAGTTTATAACTAAAATTTTTATTGGGCAAATATTGCAAGTAGAAAAGCACTTTCAGATTTTTCAACTTCAAAACGTACTTGCTAAAAATTATGTCAGTGCACACATTATGCAGGTTTTTACAGTATTTCTTTACACACTAACAAACCTCTTCAGGGGAAGCGAAATCTAGCCATAATATTTTTGGGTTAGATGATGGCCATTTTGTATTGTGAAGAGCCTTTCTTGTCTGAACAGCCTGTTCTTCTGTCTCATACTGAAAAACACAAAAACAAGATACAATCATAACTTATACAATGAACACTGATAAAATGGACTATTCAGTCAATTAAATCATCTGGAGACAGTATGCTCAGGAAGGATGTCCATTCAAATATACCAGTACTGGTGTCACTATCAGGAAATCTACTGAAGAGTTTTTCTAATTAAGTATACTATGATGATAACACCAAACCACATATTTGGAAAATAACATATGTTTGAAATTTTGTTATACATTATCATGTGCAAGTACTAAAAATGACTTTTAGCGTGTGATTTCAAAGGTACAATAAATTACACATAATCAAATTCTGATAATATTCTTGCAGTGAATTACTGTTTGAATTTGTGAATATTTACCGTGGCATAGCAATGAGACTTTATCTTATCAATCCAAAAACTTTCATCGTCAATATTTCCCGTTCGACTTAGAAGGTCTTTCAGTTGTTTAATGGTGAAAGGTCGGACTAGATTTCCCACATGTATGACTTTACTGACAGAATTACGAGCAGGAGATGGTGAACGTGGAGGTGCAATGGGTTCATCAGGTTCCTGAAGCGGGACAGGTTGACTGATTCGTCGGATGATTTTTGGCTCTGTTAATAATGCAACATAAACTTTTACAACAATTTGAAACAAAATCTAATACAAGATACCTCAAAGGGTGCACACAATTGTTTGAATATTATTTGTTCTCTCCTCTGTTTTTGCTCTTAATTACATGAAATTTGAACATTCCTTTAAGGAATAGCGATAATTATTTTCAAGTGCCAAATTCAAGATGGTTGCCTGTAGGCTATTATTTTTCTGATCAGTCCCAAAATTAGAAAGGCAAAACTAGGGACAAAGTAGACCTACAAATAACATTTCAGAAAGATCAATTCAGTATTTCTTTAATACATTGTGATATAAAACTTTCATTTTCAAAATTCAAGATGGCAACCTACTGTCAGCCATTTTCAATTGCTGGACCACTATTGTGTTTCTCAGCAATATTCCATAATAAACAAACGCAGATGTTTGAAATGATATGCTGAGCTCAAAATGCAGTTCGGAATTTCTGGCAAACATAAAACAAGGAACCAAAAATAAGAAATATTTACATGTTATCAATAGCTTAACAATTCAGGAAATATGTGTGTGCCCAAACTCTGCTTAATGCAGGATTCAAAAAACTAATGATAAGGAAAGGTACAACTGGATTCTTTAAACTGAATGTGCTGGATATTCAGCAGTCCAGCCTTTGTCCCTATCTGTACTTGGTGTTTCTCTTGCAAGCGGTCCAACTGTTTCAATCACTAACATAAAAGACATTCTGACCAGTCCCATAATCAAATAGGCACAACTAATGACCAACAAGAACCTACACATGGAATCTGGGAAGGATCCATCCAGTACTTGACAAATCCATGTTGGCTACCTAAAGGATGACAGACAATGGACATAGGGCGATCAGAATATAATCTGCTGATGAATAGTACCTTTTCAACTCAACAATTTCTAGAACTACTTTGCCATCAAATTCAAACAATCCCTAACAATATCTAAATGCAAAATAGTTATTATGTCCAGCTTCCTAGCATCCCTAATTCTCAGATTTGCTGGATGGTAAAATCTTGAATATATTTTGTAAATGATGATGGTTTGTGGTGTCCAATATGTGATCTAGCTATATACCAAGTGTGGTTACAGTTTTTTTGAGCAACGAATCTAAACCCAAACCTTTAGAGTGAAATGCTGAGGATGCCACAGCAGTTCAAAAAGTAACACTACAGTCTCAATTCTGTTTTTCCACAGGCAACAACAATTTAACTAAAGAGAAGACAGTCCACAAAGGCCTTCCTGGCTTCAAACATACAGTACGGACATCCAAAATGAAGAACAAACCTTTCACAGGTGTATTATCTTTTTTAGGAGTAACTGTAGATTGTTCCACCTCCATCTCCTCTTCCTCTGCCTCCTCAGAAGAGCTGTGAGATTCCTCCTCCTTCTGATTCTCTTCCACTTTCTCTCCTGTTTCCTCATTTTCCTTCTTTTCCTCTGATGCCTCTTCATCTTGCTCCTTCATCACCTAAGTGAAAATTTCCTTTTTTACTATCTTCATCAAGTACAATCTAAGTTCTATGTCAAAGCAACTTGTATTAAACCTGCTAATATTTTTACCTAATAGTTCATAGCTTTGAAATAAACCATTCAATAGGTAAATCACATGACCCAACTTCTGTATTCTTTTTCATCTGTTGTTTTTGTATATAATTCTAACAAAAAACTTTTTATCTTTGTATGCTATTCTACCTATTGCTTTTGTATGCTATTATATCTAAAGCTTTTGTGTATACTAATCTATATATAACCTTTATATACTATTCTACATGTAATTTGTTTTTCTATCCAGAACTTTTAACCAATAAGCTACAAAACTTACCACTGTCCTCCTTATTTTAACAACATCACGCTGATCATCCTCCTGGTCCGATATTTTCTCGTCATCATTTCCAAGATCCAGAACAGGTTCTGTCATCTTTATATCTGGAATCAGTTCCTTTTAACAAAACAAAGAACACTTCAGAGATAACTGGAAAGAAACTGATACCCTTTTAGCCTAAGCCACATTATATACTGCAAAACTAAATGGAACCACTTTTCAATGCTATTTTGGTGTAAAAGAGGAACATTAGTGGCAGTCTTAATGCCCTAGTTGAAAGTGATTAGTGTAAAATTCAATTGATGAGATATGACCATTACATAAAAGCATCTGTATAGTGACCTCGTTACCATGGCAACCAAATCTGGTGCTAAAAAAACCTGCATCCACATTTGCACATCGACATACAGTCCATAACATCCCTGTGTAATTTCAATGAAATCAGTCCACAACATTAGAAATCTTGAAAAAGATCTTTCAAATAATGGGTCTTATGTGGTTACCACAGCAACCGACTGACATCAGATATTTCTAAAAATAGTAAAATTGTAATTGCCTATTTATTTAAGCCTCCATCTACTGACAGTATCACTAACCCCCGCCCCCAACTTCGTTGTGGGTGAGGGGGTATAATATACATTGTGAAAATTCCATTCTTGTATGAAGTAATCCTGCATCCCACAACATAATCCTTAACAATTCTTGATATGTCTCTGTTTACATAAATGCACAACAAAACCTTCCTTTGATGCCACAGCCTTTCCATGTAAATGATGACAGAACAACAACATATAACAAAATACAGATATACTCCCCCCACCTTGAGAGAGTCTGTAGAGATGTTGATGTTGGAGATACGCTTGACTGGCTTCGTGTCCATAGATGATCGGGACGAGCCCCACTTTCGTTTACGGACTGGCTTCTCCTTTTTGTTTTCTTTCTCTGCATCATCTTCCTTGTCTTCATCCTTGTCCCGGGATTCTCGACCTGTAAGATCAAGAGGTCAAATGTCAAAGTTGCTTTTCATTATGATGTTACCATCAATAAGAAACAGATTGGACAAGGAAATCTTTCGAATGCCTGGAGTCAAACAATCCTTGTAATATAATTACACATCAATTGAAGGAGTAATTTTTGCTATACTCTCTTAAACTATTCCAAATTGTGAATGTGCCAATGATAGCTAGTTTTCACTATTAGATTTCATTGTAGTTTTTGAAAATGCTCATCTTTGGTGACTGATAACTGAATATAACTCTTAGTATTTATTCAATTGTGGTATTTCATTAATGTTACTGGCACAAGTCGTTAACAATGGGGGCTGCCATCGTTATGAAAAAGTGCATGTGCAGCAGGTGACAATTGATGGAGTTACAAACGAGAGTACACAACATTTAGGTATTTGAATGTCAATGTTTGTAAAATGAACACTGATGTTCATTTCTGCCATATGATTGGTTGTAAACATGATTCAAAATAAATTTTTTGATGTGTTTTTGATCACCAGGGAGGTACAATTTGGGTCAAACTGCTTTAGACTTAAATAACTATAAAGGAACATCTATGGCTCAACACCTCAAACTTATCATTATAATAGGTCTTATAAGTTCAATGCTTTCATTTTGAAAGGTTTCATTACTTTAGTTTCATAACTACTTTATATATTACAACTTACTCAACTGTAATTCTTTAGATACAGACTCATATCATTTAAATGAGCTTTCCTATCAGAAGATCATTGGATTATTACAACTGGAATCTCTTGTGTAGTGTAACATTGACACTGAACAAGTCCTCTATACCAAGGCAAGTGTGCTTAAGATATACATTAAACACAAGTTTAATTAATGTATTCTTGTAGAAAAAATTGGTCCGAAAATTAGTGATACAAGTATTCCTTAGAAACAAATAAATAGTTATGTTGTACACAAGTGTTTATTAGTTTATTTAAATCCCTATGCTAACACTGTGAAACACAAGATTAGTGAGACCAGCTAACAGTTATGAGCATTTGAAGCCTAGCTAAACCAGATAGGCCTAAGTTGTGCACGGCAGTTTAGTGTGACCAGCGTACTTTTAAAGTATTGAAGTCAAATACTACCAGCAGACTTGGTCTGAAGTGACCAGTCAGCTCCATCACATTTATTATGTTGTTCAATTACCTCATCAAGGAACAAATAATAACCTTTATACTTATTCATTTTTTAAAAAATTATTTTCATGAGCATTGCTTATTTCAAAGTGAACTTACAAATGTTTGTCTGTAATTGTCAGATATTCATGTTGTAGTTATACTGAATATCAAATTTGTAAGTATTAACTGTTACACAAAATTTTAACATTTACGAAAGCAAATGTGGACATGCGTCTTCATTTTCTAAACAAATCTGAAAATTATACCCCTGACCCACTATTTCATCAAGGTGAGCTTGAAATATCTCATCTAGTGACTACAAATGCCTGGAACCAACACAACAGCTCAAATATTTGATTTGAGATATCACACTTGGGTTCAATAACTGAAGCACACATGTAGTCGATCACATATCACTTTAACATGTAGTAAACAATTCCATCAACCTCCCTTACCTTGGAGAGAAATCTTCTTTGGATTGACGTCCTGATTGGCTGACTGCTCATGGATTTCTTCCTGTAATACAATAACATAGTAAATCATACCACACTGACCTATATAAAACCACAAAATCACCTGTATCAGTAATGTGTCCTCTATACACCTTTCAAGCTTGATATTATGTCTATAACTTAAAGCTATGATAGAAAGATGAGGAAGAACACATCATTTGGTCTTTAATCATAGTACAACAACGTCTACATGTAAGTAAGTATCATGACAAATATGAACATATATATATGTATTGTTAGAAATTACATGGGACTAAAATTTATTTAATGTACACATGCTTGTCAGACCTGAAAATCTCTTGTTCAGATATAAAATTTCTTTAGTCAATAATATTGTAACAAATGTATTAATTAAATCATTTTTTTGCTGTGTACATATTGGAGAATTTCATAGTTCCATTTCAGTCTGATCAGTGCCTATACTTTTTTCTGTCGTTGTTATTCTGCTTTTAGGCAACAATATGGACATTAATCTCTAGAATTTCAATTCATGATAGGGAATGTCTTTTAAATTTTATGAATATAACCATTTAATACTAGATTTTCATTCAGAGAAAGTATCACAAAAAAATTCTATAAAAAAATTAATAATTTCTCTGATTAAAACAAAATAGTGATTTTTATTTGCCTGAATGCTGAAATATAAGAATTGCTTTTATCAAATCTACAAAGTTCAAAAATCAAGAGGATAATGCTGGGTATACCATACATACTATGATGATCTGGCAAGTTTAAAAAATCTCTCACACTTCTGGTCGTTTTTAAGTTTAATCTGTCTTGAATAAAGACATATGTAAGTAAAGAATTTATTGCATCACTTTGAATATTTTCTATATACAAATGCTTTACAACTCCAAAGAATTCTAAGAAAATTTCAAAAGTATTTTTAAAACTATTGGAAGGCTTATCCCTGTTTTTATATTTCTTATTGAAACTAGACAAGAAGGATATTTATTATTAAAGAACAACAGAGTCCTAAAAACCATCGTGTTTGTAGCTGAAAGACAAAAATATTAACACATTTGTATGAGGAACAAGGTATAGATGAATAATTACAAATATATATATAATCTGAGAACCATGGCAAATGAGCAAATACCGGCTGGCTGAGCTGTGGTGTTGATTCTGTCTACGCTGACTGTCGACCTGGGCTCTCAAAGCCAAGGGAGGTATTCGGCATAACCTAGTTAATCGCCATATGGCCTCGGGGTCAATATCTAAGGGGGGTGCTGTGGGCCTTCACCGTAGTATACACCTTGAGTAAGTCCAGCCATACGAGAACTTTCATTTAATGTGTGAAAGTTTTTTTCTTAGTCTGAAGTCACGCACAGAACTTCAAGTACGTGTTGCGAGAGATTTTCGTTTCAGTTTATCGACACGATACGCGATGAATTTTTCAGTTCCTCAAATGTCCATCTACTGATGAGTCACAAGGTTGTGTGATTTTCTTTACAGTCTATCAGTTAATGCAATGTAACATCTATTATCAGATATTGTGTTCAGTCCATTTGATGAAACAAAGCCACTTTCAATGCTGTGTTGAGTTCAGTCTGGTTAAAGAATATCAAACACAGTCTAATGACATTTGGTATTCTTTATTCTTGAAAGCTTTCCATTTTTCCATTCCATTCAATTCTCAGTTTGACCAAACAGTTTCGGCAGTTGCATCATGCTTGTAGTAATACAGTTAACAAGCACTATGCACAAAGGTATAGATTCACTTTTGAGTGGAACTCCCAAGTGTTACAAAGTCCTCTTTTACTCATCAGTTAGTTCATATCAGTGAGTTTCTCTTTGGTCAACCAAACCTCGTCATGGAATTCATTACAACAAATCACTATGACATAAACATTTCTGAAGTTTTCTTCATTCTTGGATTCACACCTTCCATGAAGCACAATAATCCTGCCAATAGTAAACTCTGTTTCCTAGTAATGACTGTTGCAAATGCCATGAGAATTGTTGATAATCCAGAATATGTGCAATAGTGGTTGATTTTTTTAATGTCCATAAGTCATTTTTCTGTACTTCAAAATCACTGTCCACTATTACTGCTGCTTTCTATGATGTATTTACACAAATTGTTCACACAAGATATTTCATTGCTGAAAAATGTTGACATGATGTCATTAAGATGGCTAGCAACAGAATCCAAAATTGTGACATAATGTCATTTAAGTCTATAAAGCAATGAAACATTGTATCATCCATAATAGCAGGAATGTTGTTAAGTCTCACAACATATAATGAAGTATTACATAAGCAGGCATCCTCGTCTTTGAAACTTTGTGGTACACTTTATCGTTTCTTTTAAGTTGCAATCTAAGAATCTTGCAGAGTTTCCTCTTTCATATTTTCACAATGGAAAGCATCGAAGAAAGTGAAAACTTTTTTTGCTTCTCATACCAGAGTCACATGTTTAGGAGTGACAAGTCCAAGTTTCACAAGCAACTGTGTACTGGTGTCTTTCCGGCGACGGTTTTGGACAAGGCCAGGTGGACTGAGGTGAGTATAGCCCTTAGGATGGTCAAAGGTGTGACAACATGGTACAGCAACTCATCGGTCATCTTACAGGTTACCAGCATAAAGTCAGCCCCATGCCATGTTCCTCTGATAATACTATTATGTACAGCGAAAAAACCCACATCAATGCTCCAAGAGAAGGAGTTTTGTCTTTCTTTGTTTCTATCTTATGTTGAAAATCAATTTACTTGTATATCTTATTTTAGGTCTTGATACATTTTAAAGACAGAAACTTTTTAATTCTGAATTAAAGTTTGGAAATAAAACTCTTTCTTTTGTTGACTGATTAAGACAAAGAATTTTATTTCCATTAAATATTTATAGATGGAATGGCTGCACACTCAGTTGAAAAAAAATTATTAGGTAAGGATTATATCAATTTGAAGATTAACCAGTGTATAAAATCAATGAGACAAGCAATCACTTCAGTGTAATGGAAGTTTCAAATTATAAACATAAAACTACAAACTCTGAACAACAAGATTGAAAACTAGAGTATGAACTTAAATTATATTTTAATCCATGATATTTTTACCTATTTTTCTTTCAAGAATTTCATTATCAGTGAAGTAGTAGGAAATATAGGCAAAGGAAAAAAGAACAAAAAGAAATCTGCATGCATTTATTGCCATTCCCGTAATAACTCTTTGAGACAAGTATTTTTTGAAAAGTGACAAGAACTCCTTCTCTGACAAAGTAATGATGAAATATGAACCAAAGAGACACGAACATACCTTATGATCAAGTGCTTTCTCACTGGTGTCCTCAGTCACAATCAGAGTGTCGCTACAATATTCCAAGTCATCAAAATGTGAAATCATTTCTATAAAGGTAAAACCACCTAAAATGGATACCTGTCTAAGATATTATCTTTTAAAAAATTTACACAGAATATTACTGAATTATATTGAATTTATCACAATCAAGTACTTACTTATGTAACACAAAAATCATTATTTGGGAATTAAAAGCAAGCTCAAGGACTTTAACAAATTCAATAAAAAGAATGATCAATAGCATTTGGATGCTAGAAACTTTTCACAAGATACAAACAGAACATAACATGAATTATTGAACTAAACGCATACGCATGGTCTTCTGATCTGTCTTCCTTCTTCTCAGCTGGTGTATCAACTTCCATTTGTTCCATCTCCTCTTTCTTCGACCCCTAATAGCAGTAAACATATTCTTTCAAATTTTTAAATGAAGTCATCTAATGCAACGTTTCAAGAAAGACATATAAGCATTTTACTTAAAACCTGTAGTTTTATGTAGAAAAAGAATAAACCAAAACTACATAGTCCCACTGCAATATTCATTAAAAAAAAAAACCTTAAAAAAAAAAATTCCAACTAGATAATGTTGAAGCTACAGGAATGCCACTTTATGGCACATACTTTGCTTTGTATTTATTCTACATAATATTGTCAAAGAAATTAAATGAAATTTTTTTTTAATAAGAGCAAGGATGGGTGGCAAAAATCACATTACACACCATAGAATAGAATACCTGGGTGTCTTTAGCATGACTAGAAGACTGTGGAGATTTGAGGGGTGATTGGTTACTGTGATCTGGTGACTTTGAACGAGATCTGGATCTTTCACTATCTGACGATGATGATGACCTTGATCTTGCAGTTGATTTTTTCTTTTGCCCTGATCTTTGAGGTGAACTGGAATCATTTGACCTTCTTGGAGAATGTGATATTTTCCTCACTTGCTTGGGTGATGGTGACCTTGACTTTTCTTTTGGTTGAGGTGAAGCCAAAGGTGATTTTGCTATTTGCTTCAACTTTGGAGGAGATGGAGACCTTTTCTTCTGCTTTGATGCTTTTACAGAAGTGTCTGATGCAGATGAACTTGACCTTGAACGTGACCTGGAACTGCTGCTTGATGAACTAGAACTAACGAAAAAAACCCAATTCCACAAATAATCTCTGCTCATCTTGCCTTCAAATTATTTCTTGATGGAAACACAAAAATAGAGAAAAATATTCCTATTTCGTAGCAAGCAAAAATAATATTATCAAAGCATAACCAGCAATAGCAAACAAGGAAAAAACGTATCATCACATCTGGATGAAATTTAGTATAGGAAATTTAAACAAACAAGGTATCACAACATGAGAATTGAGACTTCACTTTAACATACAAACTCTGCCACCAGGAAACATATTTACACTACAGAAGTAGGTGAAACAGAGTATCCAAGATGATGTATAGAGCAAGAAAAGCAATAGCTCAATTCAATGAGAATACTAAAGTAATAATCTTTTTATATCTAAGTTGTACAAGCAGTGTTGAAACTTTAATGCAAAATCATCCTGGCAAAAACTGTTACACACCTGGAAGAACTCCTTCGACCACTCGATGCCAATTTCTTTGGTGTTCTTGATCTTGACCTTGATCGAGAATGTGAAGATGACCTTGATCTTTTAGTTTTATCTTCTGATCTTGACCTTGACCTTGAACTGGAACTTGAACTTGAAGAGCTTGATGATGATCTACCTCTTTCCTTTCCTTTATTGTCATACGGTTTCTCACGGATGTCATCTGTGGATATCAGATGGATTGCAAAATGTTAGCTTGACATTATAACACTTCGGAAATCAGACTGTTTATAACACAGTTCCAACATTGTAACCCTTTGGTAATCAGACTGTTTATATAAGAGTTGTTTGAGAACAGCATAGCTTGACATTTATAGACTGATCTCAATATTGATTTTAATGTTTTTCAATTAAAAAGTTTGCATCTTCAAACTATTATATCAAATTGGTACACAGGTCTAATTATGTCCCTGAACTTATCTCAATACTTCAAAGCTGTTTGGAGAAAATCATTCTTATTTCACTGTTAAATAACAACCTAACCCTAATGTAATTATCTTTCTCTGGGTTGGGTGAAACTTATTCATCTTTTCTCTTGTAAGCACAGTAAGAGATTTATACTAAGCAATTGAACATATCACTTGACCTCATTTTTCTGTACCTGAAGGTTTTTCTGCCACTTTGTTCTCTTCCTTTTCTAGTGGCTCTGATTGCTCTTCTTCCATAATTACAGGTGCTGCTGATTTACTGTCATCTTTGTGTTCTTCCACCTCTGGGACTTTCTCTTCATGTTTGTCATCTGATACGCTCTCTACTCTCTCAGAGATCTCTACTTGGGACTTAGATTCCGAGATATTCTCTGTTTCCATAGGTACTTCTTCCTTGGATATTTCTGTCTCTTCATGACTCTGCTCCTTTTCTAATGTTGCACTTTCTTCAGGTGCTTCTTTGTTAATGTCCGCTATCTTCTCTGGTTCAGGCTGTTTTACTTCAGGTTCCCGTCTCCAGCGTCGTGATTTTCTAGGAGCTCTTTCCTCTACAACTTCCTTTGGTTCTACTATCTCCTCCTCATTTAGACTGGATCTCCGTCTTGTTCGTTTTCCAGTTTCAAGCTCTCCAGCTCCATCAGCCATCTAAAATATCAAACAGATCAAACTTCTATGAACTGAACTTTGATGATTCAAATTTCTCAATGTATAGGTTTTTTGTTTTGTTTGTTTTTGTGAGGTTCCTAATCCTTTTTAACACTACCATGAAACCTCTCTATCAGGACCACCTGGGAGTTTGGGTAAAAGTGGTCTTAATAATGAGCTGCACCAGATTGACCACTGACCATCAAGAACCATTCCAGTAGAATAAATTGTGTACTGCATATGTACCACTTGAAACGTATCCTTAAATGACCATTAATTGTACTTATAGTGCTAATGTAGAAAACGATGGGCTTGACTTTCATTCCTGCGTTATATTTTAACATTAAAGCTTTTTTCAAAATCGAAGCAAAAATAAAAAAAAGAAGCAGCTTAATTAAAACATATTCAATATAAGTAAGTTGTTTTTGAGAATTTTTTTCTTCTTTTCGTTGTTTTAAATGAATATATTAATCAAATACTTTTTACCCATCCAGTTCTCTTTCTTTTCATAGGTATATGTACCTATCTAAGAATCATAAGTATGCATTGTCCATTTTTTGTTATTTCTGGACACAATAATGTTTCATACATAAAAATGTCAGTTAGCGTTTAAAATTTGCTGTAGTATTGCTGTTTACTTATGTAAAAATTTTGCTTCATCAACTATGGCTATAAACATGAAAACGTTGATTTAATTACAGACATACTGCCAGATACCCAGAAATAACCTTACACAAGTGATTCAAAGTCTCAGTGTATGAAAGTTATTTTTGCTAGACCCTTGAACTTCGAAACATCAAAGATTGACTGTATTTCAAATAGTTGGTAATGTTTTACCTGTTAAGGTAGAGAATCAGATATTGGTATTATCTTACCTGTGCATGTGGAGGTGGTGGTGTTGGTGGAGGGGGAGGGGGAGCCTTCGGTGTTGGAGATTTTGGCAGTGCTGCACTGTTTGGTTTCTTTGCTACCGGTTCAGGAAGTATGCTCTCTTCTGGAATACTTTGCTCTCTGCATGTTTTCTTGGGACTGTCTGCTGGACGTTCATCTTGAGAACTCTCGGATTCTTCTTCTGGATGATAATTATTTTATTTCAGTAAACCAATGCAACTGTATAATCAACAACTTTTGATAGATCTTTAAAAATGTCATGATGATTTGTAAACTTCTCACAGAAATCATAACATTGGCATTATTCATTTAACAGTTATTAACAAAACTGATCAGACCATAATTCATAAAAGAAAACAAGCTTACCAGAATATCTTTTCCTTGCCTCTCTCTCCACAACAAGAATCTTTTGTTGCTTCTCTAGATACTGTTTTATAAATGCATTATTCCCAGTAACTTCATCTTCCTTCAGCTGAAACAATAGTCATATCTTGCTTGAGCGGAACTTCAGTGTATTATTTAGCTGATCAAACCAATGTAATGAAAATCTATAATTTAAATCTGTTCTGCCAGTTGTAAAGCAACTTATTGTATCATTATTTAGTGTTAAAATTGAAGATTTACACTGCAATTTCACAATCACATTATTCTGAAGACTAACATACAGAAAGAAATGAAAGTTCAATGAGAATTAAATTATTCTTTCACAAGGAAACATTCATGTGCTCTCATAGTGTGATCCAGATACAGATGTACATCTTTCTTTATACAGGTAGCAAATATTCTCAAAACCTAGTTTTTAACATTAAAAACAAATGGTCAAAATGTCACACATACCTTACTGTTAGGAGCTTCATCTACAAAAAGAAATAAAAAAAAACATGGTATGACAATTGATCTTATTGTTCCGTGCTCATGCTAAGTGATAAGGTTTTATACTATGAATAATTACTATGTTAATAATAATTAACAACGTTAACATAACAAGAAAAATAAGTAATCACTGAGGACATAAATTTGACTCTTGACTGGTGTTATATGGTTTGTAACTGACTCATATCTATTCATAGATGACTTTTGGAACAAGTTACTAGCTACTTCAAATATCAAACATTCTTTTCACAGTTATAATATTTTTAGAATGATATGTAGTTACCTGATTCAGTTACAGGCTGCTGCTGCAATTTTTCCAAAAGTAGTTGCTGTAAATACAGAAAAGAGAAAATAAAATATTTTGAAATTCATCTATCAATATTCTATTCCCCTTTTTTCTTCTCTCATTTGTCACCATCAAAATAAACAAAAGTGAAATGAAATTGAATTAATTATTCACCCGTTTTTGTCATACACCTTAAGTATTTCAATAAGTCAAAATTACTCTGACATTAATTATCATTACTATTTCCTCCTTTACAACTACATTTAACTAACAACTTTACAAAGAATGCTTTCTTGATCACGTTGTTGCTGTCAAGAAACTTGAAAGATTGAGGAAAGTCACAAATGTGAAAATGGCATTTTCAACCCAATATTCATGATAACACTTACAGTGAATAAAACAATTTTGAGTCACACACTTTTGTGGTAAAATTCTTTTAAGATCTGGATAAGTTTTTGCAGCAGGTACTTTGTTTTCTGTCTTTTAACCCTGTGAATATTGCACAAAGTTGGTAAACCTCTGCTTTCTGTGCATGATATACCTTGTAAATATTTACAAAATTCAGGTTAATGTGCAAACTTAGAAATAAGCAACATGCACCTGTGTCTGCATTAAAACAGTAATAGTGAAAACATAATTATCTATTTTTCATATGCATGAGGATAGAAAATTCCATTAGTTACCTACAAGCTGACCTAATGCACATCTTTTGAAGTTCAGGAAAAAAACTCCAATTTTGATACTTTAAATTACCTACCAATATCTTATTGAAAATTTGAGCATCAAGCATTTAATGAGATAGAGTTTGATTATTCTACTGTGGTGCATGTCACAGTAACATATATGCTCTGCTATAACCAATTTAACAAAGTGTGTAATTAATATCAATATAAAACTTGGTACGTAGGTGCACTGTGATAATAATTACAGCAAATATTTCTTGCCGCTAAGTTTATCGGGTATCTAAGAAGATATTTTCTGAAGAATCATTATGACAATTGCTGTCACTTGTTGATGCTTTCTAGAATACCTCTTCAAGGGAGTACAGATCTATCAGTGGTGTGAATAATCATGCAGTATGCCCTAATTCAGGAATATAACGATATGCAAGCTTGTATTGGATATGTCAGGCATCTATCGAGCGTTTTTACGTGAGGGTTCAGCGGGTCAAGCGACAAGTCAAGAGTCAAGTAACAGGTTATTGCCTGTGGTAAACAAAACTGGACGACGCACTGGTGCAGCGGGTTAGGATTGCATATTCACCCATTAGTTTGAACATTAATTGCAATTCATTTACGTACAGCTTTAAGTCTCTCGATTAGTTGCGATTTGCTTCCTGCTTTTGAAAGACCTCTTTTGTCACATTCTTTCTTCAAATCAACAACCCGTAACCCTGCAAGTGTTTTGCCTTGCAACAGAATTTCTTCTTCGTCCGCCATCTTAATTCACGCTCTCGCATCGCAACCGGAAGTTGATCGGATAGATTTATGAAAAAAATATATATATTACTGTATACTTTATTCAATCATTCATTTTGATCAAATACAATAAAATATATCAGACATTTACTGGAACGTTGAATTGATATCGATTTTACATAATGAAAGTAAGCCGACTCGGCAATTTCCGTAATACGGAAGGGAAGACGATATCGTCCGAAGTTGAGGATGGAGACTGCTGTAGTTTTGACAACTGTAATGAAAGGAGTTGCGGATGCACTTCGATTAGATGGCGAAGGAAATAGACCCAAGGTTAAGAAATAGATATTTATGAACAAAACTGTTTCTGCTTTTATAGACAACAACTGTCACTTTTGTATTTTTTCATTTATTTTCCCCTTACCCATCATCATGATAAACTTAAATACTGTACGCTGATACAAAATCTTTAGCGCATTCGTTTCGGACCCTTAAAAACCATATCACGCTAGCAACGCCATGTCAACGATTTTCCATCAAATAAATACATAAATGAATTCAAATATGTTCGTATTATATGATTTATTTTTTTAAAATACTAATCAGTGAAACGCCAGAAAATATCCTCAGATCCGACATAAAAATCGCTCACTTCAAATGATCGACATTTGTATCAGACATGTGACTGCATTTCCGTTTCTGACGAGATCACCTAATCTTAGTGACGCTTAAGATTGATTACAGTGACCCAGAAGTACACATGTATTACTTAAAATCCTCATTTGAACGGGAATGACATTGTGATGACAGAAAAAATGAAAATACAATAATGGTTTTATTTTTTGGTTGTTTCTTCTCAAATGAAATATGTTTCTTGGCAGACTCTTTTTATAACACAAACTATTTAAATGAAGTTACTTTTTCGTCGGTTGTTCTACAATTCACTAGTTCATTAAAATCAGAAATGTGTGATCAAAAGTGATAATTTAAAGATCACTACTTTTCCAAAATAAGATGTGCATGTTTGGATTTTCATCGTCAAAAAATTGTAAGAATGTGTGACCTATTACTTGTGGTAAATTTTTATTCATTTGGCAGACAACAACAGAAGATTGACATCAGAGATTGTATTAATTGGTTATTTCATCTGGGAGGATGTTTGACATGTGGAAATGGAATTAAGGAAAAACACACAAATTTACCAATGAACACGAACAAAGAATGGTTTAAATCGCTACATTCATTCTTTCTGACATGTTACAACAAACAAAATTATCCTGATGCAAGGTCACGCAGAACATTAGTGCATGTGATACAGCTGGGCAAAATGGCCATGCTGAAATTAAATTATGGTCAGGAATCGATGTCCAGCTGATACAATTATGAACAATATATGCAATTCAAATATTCCTTTCTGTTGGAATGCCCGTCAGGAATCAAATACAGGTTTCTTTTGTGTTGTTCCTTAGTTCGTTCTACTGCGGCCAACTGAACTGATGAAGCAAAAGCTAGTGATTTTCTTGAGACACTACTACATATAGACTATGAGTGGTCAAAGTCAAATTAGCAAATAGTTATAGTAAAATGTAAAGGACTAAGTAATGCTTGTCTTAAATTTTCTAATTTTTCATTTTTCAGGAAGCCTATGTCAAGTATCTTGAATGCATCTTTCGCATCGCCACAAAATTACTACAAAATGTCAAGTCTGATAGTAAGTAAATCCAATGTATTTCATGATTTCAGTTTTGACTTCTTCAGTGAGGTTTTCTTTATATACAAAAATCCTACTTGTACTTGTAGAATAAAAAATTGTAAAGAAGTACCATATGTCTTTATAATAACTTTGACATATGAGATGCATTGTGCTAATAAAACTAAAAGTATGAAACTTTTAACTAGGTGGCCAGGTCCACATCACAAAGGAAGTGGTACGATTTGTTCGTCTTGGTAACCAATGTATGGAGCGCATGGTTGCCATTGTCAACCAGTTCACATCAGGTAGGAGAATTATTTTCTTATGTGATTTCAAAGTAAAGTGAATACATACACTAGTTTTCTCCTTGTGAAGGTCGTATATACTTAAAATAGAACCTCTGTATACATTCTAAAAGTCATACTTAGGCCTATAAATGTAATAAATCTACTATGGATATACAAAAACATTAAACTTCCAACTTGTGCTAAAAGATGATGCGCACATTTGGCAATGAATTTCACAAACACTATGTTAATTAAGTAAATATCATTGAAAGTTCCTTAGCCATTTCTATCTGGAAGACTGATATGAAAATGTTTTTCCACCAAAATTTAAATGTGATAAAATGTTTGGACAGCTGTAGTTCATGGTTGATGATTTTATTTCAGGACTTTCTGCCAATCAGCAGAAGCTGCCAGTGGGATCTGAATGCCAATTTTTCCCACCTGAATCCAAGTCTGCCCCAGCAACACCTGTCAATCAGTCATCTTTGGACTTAGGGACTCAGGATAGCCGACTTAGACTTTCTTCTGCCCCGACTCCTCTTCCAGACATTTCCAGTTCTCATTCAAAGTAGGTTATGTGGTAGCATTACGAGTACTTTAAGTACAGTTGTGTATAGTTGTGTTATTCACTGTCGCAGATTTTACACTGGGGACACGGGATCAACTATGGTTTCAGTCAAAGTTTTATGTGATAAAGGGTGTTATCATTGTATTTTGTTCCTTTGGCTTTACATTAACATTTTAGATGATCAACAGTTTCATGATCCTTGCAGACAAAAGACTTTGACTCCATCACAGATAGCCATGATGAAGAACCACCAGCTTATGATTGCTTACAAGACAAGGATGGGTGGCCTAGGAACACGCAAGTCTGCAGCAGCTAGTTTGGTATGTTTATAGATAAAAGAAAGGGATTGTTTTCATGCAATAACATCAAATTTGATCTAATTTCTGGTAGGATTTACATTTTTCAAATCTGAATTTGATATACATGTTTGCTTATTCATTTAGGCCGCTTTTGGACATAACCCAGTTGAAATGGTTCAGGTCGTCTGGAAATATTCAACTTAATACAAACACACTTATACTGGGTATTGGAACTGATAACAGAAAACAGTGAACTTAACATAAGATACCATCCCTTTAACTTGTGCTTAGTAAAATGCTTCCAGAAATATGTGCATCCACTGACCCAGCTTTATGTTGAAATTAAAAAACTAATGACATTCAGCAAGTTAGTGATCACCTCATATGTACATGCTGAATTTTCCAGAGAGCCTCAATCCCAATCTGTACCTGGCATTTTTTTCGCAGGGTTCAGCCATTTCAACTGTTAAGTGAAAGCAAACTAAGTGTTAACAAATTTGTTTATCTTATGTTTGTCCAAGCTCCTTTAAACATTCTAATAAGTGGCATCTGTTTATTCCTAATTACTTTTGAAATGGTCAATTCATAACTACTAATTGAAATACGACCAGGAGTGTATCCATCACAAATCTCATACTGCCAAAAAGGCACATACAAATGAACTACTTTTCAAGGGAGATAACTTGCTTTACCTTAATAAATATACATTTTTTTAACTGTAGAGTTTGACTTTGCAAAGGAAGATGGCTGAAAATTTAGCAATCGCAAAAGCTCAGGAAGCTGCTGTATCTTTTTTGAGATGTAATTATTGCTGCACTCTAAGCATTTTATGTTGATCTTCAAAGAAGACTCATAGGAACCACGTAAATAGGTAATTCAGTGGGATCTACAAAGATGTTTCTTTAAATGTTAATGGCATAAGTGAAAAAAAGTTTTGAAAGCCTGTAAAAAGTGTAAAGATGATCATTGTGAAATTTTGCTTGCCTTTTGATTGTTTACACTGAAGTAAATGCTTAATTGCATGTTTGTCTTTGATTCAATATTCCTGAAACATCTTTAATGAAATCTATCAGTTGCTCTTTACACCACCTCTTTTTCTTTTAATCACAATATGAGTTATTTCCCTTAGCATGCATTTGTGTGTTCTGTTGTAAGATCCCATGATGCTAGACATACTAAAAATCTGTACACATGAAGAACTTGTTCATAAATCTGTTTTCAACAAATTTTATAAAAACAAATTAAAAGTGAACTGAAATATTGAAGTTTCTTTTTATCAATACAGAATCTAAGGAAATGAGATTACTTGTTTCACAAGGCTAAAGTTGTTATATGAGTACTTCTTTCTGGACATATTATTTATACTGGTTACTAAAGAGGCTTCATTTTACAATGCTGCATTTTTGATGTCACCATATTCATTTATATTACATTTATATTTACAATTTTTAGACTGAAAATGTAACTGCACCTCACTGCAACTTGTGGAATTATATGAACAATTTGAATGATTTGTCTTTGTCTGCCAACAGCTGAAGTTTGTATAAGTGAAAAGAATTGTAGAGATTCGTGTAAGCATTTGAATGATAAGAGATGTGAAGATTTAGACTTGTTGAGAATTACTGTTTTGTTATCCTTAATGTGGCAAAAGCTTGCCAAAAAGATCCAGGAACGACAACATAGGCTGGAAGAGCAGGCAGCAAAGTAAGTAATTTATTTGCAAAATTTATTATATTCAAATATTTTTTGCAAATGTTTTTCTTTGCAAATTTGTTAATGTTGATATCGTTAATAGCAAATAAGTTGCTTTCATTTCCTTTGCTAAACAGGAAATTTAACAGTGTTGATGGAATGTCTGGAGAAGAGGAACACAAGAAAGAAATTTATAAGAAGGTGTTAGAATATGAACATGATACGGTAAATACCTATATAAATTTTTGTTACAATTTACACCTGAAGGCTCAGGATGAAAGAGATAACTTTTGTCTCTGAAATTATTGTTATTGGTAACTAAATTGATATTTTTTATGATTGCCTCCCGTCCTCTGCAGGATAGGGATTTTCTAAGTGTATTTTTACCGTTAAGAGTAAGATAAAAATGATATTATGATATTATAAGATTTGCCAATTTTTTTTATTCACAAATTACTGATAAGATTATCTTTTTTCTGACATAAGATTTCCCTGTTTTCTACCTTGACATAACCGTTGTTTGCCTAATTTCTGATGTGTAATTTTTTATGGCTTTGTTGGTTTAAAGGTTTAAAAGAAATATCTAAATGTTATGTTGATATTTATTTCAGAGTTGGTTGACTGATTTAAGGCAGCAACTAGAAGAAAATCCTGATGATGCTAAGTTGATGCAGCAACTAATACTTGGCATCCTTAAGTAAGTGTTCTGTTAAATTGATGCTCATGATACTCATATATCAAACTATTCAAAAAGTTTTTAACTTCGCCCTTAAAGTGTAATCCACCTTATTGACACAAGGGCGAAAACCAAACTGTGTTGAAAGTTCCGTTGTATATGTCTGTAATGTAATGTCACACATTTTGACTACTTGTTTTGATTTTCTTTAACATTTCCATGCTTAGTTTATTTTTTATATAATGAGAGAATGGAGGTAGGGGTCCATGTCTTTTGTGTATTTCTACTTAGAGTAACAAAATTTTATAAGACAATTTTCTTTTTAGATTGCTTTTATAAACTGCATGTAATTTTCCTGTTAAGGATTATATATGGTTTTTGGTCCCCAAATTCATCAGATCTAAAAAACCAATAATTAAATTCACAAATCACAATACAATTCAAATAAAAATACTTCGCTGAAGTGAGATTTATAAGATACTTCATCTATGGTTGCCATGATAACAGTTTCAAATTTGCATAAATATGTGTAAACTTTTTTCCCAATTTTCACTAGTTTTTTGCATAGGTTTTTATTCAGCAACCACAGAGCGCATTTTTTATCAAACTCTATATTTCTCCTGAAGATGAAGTGCAGTAGAGCCTTTTAAACTAAACAGAATTTTGATGTACAGAATGATATTCTCTTTATGATTATCCATAATGAAAAAAATTTATTTAAACTGACTTCAACCTGAGCAGTTAACACCTGAGTTCAGACCAGCAAACCATGAAATCAACATGTTGTATGTTTTTTGCCTCAGGCACATCTCACAGGTAGTCTTTTGTGTGCCATATCTGCCCTATGGAACTATACTCAATGAATGATACAAGTAAAGCCTATACATTTTGAATGTGTTATTTTTACATGTATGAAATTGATACATTGATGGAGTGTTGTTTTAAAAGATGATATCGTTATCCTGATAACCAAAGCACATCAATTATATCTGTTGGTAACACTTTTAGATTGATTGACAATCAACAAAGGGGGCCTGGGTTTGGCTGGCTGTGTACTCTGCAATGTCCAGAGGTTTTCTCAAGGGAAATTTCATACATATTGTTTACAAATATCAAGTGTATTTTTTTCACTTGATCAAAATATTTAATTAATTATTTATGAATTCAGTTACTTGGACATACAAATGTAATTGGGCATGCCTGTGTAATGTACAGAACGGCATCAGATCAATGATATAACCAGGTCATTACAGGTCAAATGCGTTTACTTCTACAAACTGAATCCTCCTTAATCTGGCATGGAGATGTTCTACTTTACAATATTTAAGATTTTTTTTACCAAGATGAAAAGACCAATTGTTTTTGTTTTATTCTGTGACGCAGTGTCTGCCTTCTGCATCAACTTTTTCCTTTAAACATCTTTTTATCAATATCTAATGGACTAAACGTTTTAATATTTTGCTTGTATGTTCTGACGATACAGCCAGAGAAAGTTTACCAAATATAAATGACCTTGATGTATATTCAAGGTCATAGGGGTCAAATTTGTTAAAACCTTTGAACAACTTTTTTTCATGAACTAAAAGGCCTAGGTATTTGGCTGTTATGTTCCTAGGATGATGCCTGATGAAGTTTTGAAAAGAAATGACCTTGACTTTAGTTCAAGGCGATAGGATCAAATTTGTTATACCATTTAAACAACTTGTGAACTAAAATGCCTTAGAAGCATGATATTTAGCTGGTATGTTGCCAGGATGAAGCCTGACAAAGTATGGAAAAAGAAATGACCTTGACTTATATTAAAGGTCACAGGGGCCAGATTTGTTAAAACGTTAATATGTTACAAGGATGAAGCCTGACAAAGTTTGTGGAAAGAAATATCTTGACCAATATTCAAGGTGACAGAGGCCAAACATGTTTCAAATTTGATGGATTTGGGGGTCAAAATGGTCGAAATCATACTACTGATATAATGTTACTATGATATGCCTGATGATATTGTATTGATATACTCCTGTTAATGTAATATTTCTGATAATGTAATGTGTTAATCTGACATGATATTGTTCATACAGGTGTACAGACCATCCTCTTACCCAGCAGCTGAAACTTTACCAGTACAAACTGTATGAAAAAATCCATCCCCTTGTTTCCAAACATATTGAGTATTTGTCGGAGATAAAGGTGCCCCTTTCTGTAAGTCTGTTCCCCGCAGGGGTGGCTGAGATGTGGGAGGATTCTCAAGGGTGTGAAGGCAATTCTGACAGTGATTCCCTTGGTAATGAGGAGGATGACGAGGAACAAACAGAGGTATTTGAAAAAGATGAACACAATGTAACCATGATTGAGAATGAATCTGCAGATGTGATGGATGGTAAGAGTACAGTTGAGGATGTGAAAACTAGTGATGAAGAAAAAGAAAATTTAGCCATGGAAAATATTGAAGATGTTTCTGCCAACATAAAAGAGGATTTAGAAATTGCTTTGGAAAAGGGTGAAAAGTTGACAAAGCAATTAAAACGTGAAAACCAGCAAACAAACAAAATCATTAGACAAGTTTCAAATGAAATTGAAAAATATAGTCTAGAGAATATGGATGATTTGTTTGATGATGATGATGAGGAGGAGGAGAATGACAGTGAGATTGAAAATGATAATTCAAACGATAAATGGGTACCTGCAAAACGGTCAAGTCATCTGGATGATAACAAACAGAATTCTGAACAATTAGAATCAGATGAAAAGTATCATGATTCACAGAGTTCTAATCAATCTGAATCAAACAAAAAGCCATGTGATTCATCAATATCAACCGCGGGAAGTAAAGTTTCCTCACCAGGTAGACGACATTCGTCCAGTAACAAGCTGGTTCATCGCCCACATGTGGAACATGTGCAAGCTATGGACAAGCAACTGGCAAAAATAAAGAATGAAGCGTATCATCGTCACTTAAAGGGTATATCGCAGGATGTACAGATTTACCTAGAGAAAATACAGACTCTTTTTACTATGACCTATGAACAGCTTGATTCACCAGCAGGTCAGGACCAGTGCTATGCATGTTTAGAGAAACCATTCTTCCAGCCAATTTGGCAATACCTGATAGCATTATATAGGTAGGTAGTCAACAATGTATACACGTATTGTTTGAAATGAAAGGCTTGTGTATTGGTGTTTCTTGTTTTTGTGTTGGATACAGAAAGATATTTTAAGTTTCTTATCCTACCCACCCAGCATTTTAGTGGGGACTGGTGGCAGGGATTAGAGAGTTACCAATGTCCATGCTGTGTTCATAACATGTCATATCTTGAGAACTCCTCATATCAAAATATATATATGAAAATGTTTGTTTCTACAGAAAAGGGTAATACAAGTATAATTATCAAAATTTGCTTATAAGATAGATCTGTTGCTTTCCATTACCAAGACAAGTCCCATTGTGATCATTCTTTTTCTGTACCTAGACTAGCAAATGAGCCAAAAGAGATTGCAGTGGCCTATGTAATGACGCGACATCAACACAGCAGACCACAGGACTTTAATGTTAGTAAGAAACTATGTCTGGATCAAGGGACATCTGACCAGACAGACAACTACCCCTACCGGCCAGCAGTGGTGGAATTACAGGCTATCGCTACACAATGTACCCTGCTGGACAAGCTGGAGTGTCTAGGTTGGTTCCCAATGTTGACATGATTATTGTTACCTTGTAACCTATCCTGTTCCTTTAGACAATATCTGATGACATATCAAAATGGAAAAGCCTAGTTTAACCATCACACATCATTTGTCCATTGTTTACTTTTCTTTCTTTAAAGATGGTTAACTATTTGTAAATATTTTAATTTGCATCACATTCTTGAGCCAATGGAATTTGATATTGATGGAATTGACCTCCTAAAGCACTAAAGCAGGGAGACAAGACCCACAATAGGTATTAATACTACTCATTCTCTACAATGAAAGGAGGTTTGACACTCTTGGCCAAAAATTATGTTCATCTGAGAACAGACCCTCATTCAAATCCATTCCCATCCCCTACATCCAGGAATAAAGGATACCATCACCATGAGTCTGTCTTTCATTTTTCTTTAGCACCATAATATCATGTGAGTTCATATATTAATTGATAACAGTTAACATGACAGAGATTTTATGTCAATACATGTATTGTAGAGACACTAGAGTAATGGTGTAACGATTTTGTTTCAGTACGTTCATCACGTCTGATCTTCCAGTGTATCGAAGATCACTATAAAACCGAGGGCAAGGTCCCGTCAGTGTACGTATTATACTCTTTACAGTATACTGTTGTCCAAGTTTTGTTTTCACAATCTCAGATATTACTGTGACTTTACAAAGGGAGACAATCTAAACTATATTAAACTAATTGAGAAGGTTTTGTTCAAATTTTGATGAAATTATCAACTAGAGATAGAATCTATTGCCCATACATGTTTGAGATCGATTTTATCTCAATCTCGGGCTGCCATTCTGTAATATCTCGTTCTTGGCTTTATCTCACCTGCAGTGAGATTTATCAGTTTCAAACATACAGGTAACAGATTCTATTAATGTGAGCAGTTTTGGAATAGAACATTGGTTGGTGGCAAATATGTCTTTTGATTCCTGCAGAATCTGATTAAAGATTTTTTTAAAGACAGATATTGTCTTGATCACAAAACAAAAAATTCATAGTCCAGAGAAATGAATGCCAAACCTGTTTTACTCAAATATGAAAAATAAAACAGCTTTTACTCTGTTAGTTTTAATATCCCGTTGTGATAGTCTCATGTCTACGTTACTTTGTGTTCCTACAGAGGAGCAGACGACCTTTTACCTATCCTTTGTTACGTCATCACCAAGGCCGCCCAGCCTCAGATCGTTTCAGAGTGTCATATCATGGAAGAATTTATTCATGAAGGGTATGTTTCTTTTTTTTATATTTCTCTCCTAATGGCTTGTATGTTGATTTCTTTTTAATCCAAGTGAAAATATATTTCATTGTTATATTAAAGTCCTTGGGGGGGGGTCAATAAAGGATGTAATAAAGGAGATTTAATGTACCATATTAGTCCCCAACCAGGAACCAGGAGGATTATAGATATGTGTATGTCAGTCCATACTTCTGTCCCGTTTTCCTTCTGTCCATCCTTCTGCTACCTTGTCCAGGCTCTATCTTATAAACTAAAAATTATCGTATATCAAAAGTAGGACTCTTTTCTACAATTTGACCTTTGACCGAACATGTTTTCTAAGTTTAAGTCACTCTGGTATAATGGCTGCACAGCCAATTTTGGTGGATTTTTTCGATTCAATCCACATAATAGCCCCACCGGATAATAAGCCGCACACTTTCTTACGATCTGATAACCAATTCATGGCATTATGTTGACATGTTGTTGATATGATAGACAACATATGCAATATATTAAGATCGTCAATGAAACATTTAATAAAATTTGCAAATAAATTGTACACAAATAATCTTGTTTTACATGTATTTTAAAAATTATTCTGGTAATTCAAAATACATAATAGCAAATGTTGAACTTGTTTGACTTTGGATCTTCTCTGAACAGATATAGGGCCTGACCATACATTCAGTTTACTAAACCATATCACCATCGGTGTCTGTACTGTTAAATATTAATGAAGGCCTTTGCATGCTGACCAAATTCTTATACAAATGTAGTCCCATAATATTGCTTATTGTAAGTTACACAAAGCCATTCATATTGTAAACAAACATAGCACCCGTTCCAGAATTTGACTTAACACCAGATGACCTATCAATCCCAGAGTACAATAGGCTATTGTAAACTTCCACTATTCTTTCATGCATCTGCTGTGAAGTAACCGCGAAAGTCCAGAAGATATTATTGAGATTCATATTACCATGTTTTCCGGATTATAAGCCCCACTGGTATGTAAGCCACAGAGCCAGTTTTTACCAATTTTTTTATTTTTCAGCATATAAGCAGCACCAGAATAACAATCTTATTTATGAAGTGGTAACCGTTACATTACATGAAGTTCATTGAAATAAAAGACAACAGAGGGCAATTTATCAGGATTGTCTGTGACACATTTAGTAAAGTTGACAAATGAAATATGCACAGAATACCTTTTTTTTATTGATTTATTTCAAAAAGTATGGCAATCGTTTTTGACTTGGACCTATAACCCAATGATCTATCGAACCCAGGGTGCAAAAGGCTATTGTAAACTTCCGCTATGACTTTAAAGTAACCACGAATGTCCAGAAGATATCATTGGGATCATATTAATTGGTATGATTAATTAATTCCACGAGAATGTTATTTTATTTCAATCTTCAAATCATCCTATATATGATTACAAATGACAGTTTTAGACATTCTATTTCAGTCACAAACACCTGACAGGCAGGTACTTGTAAAAAAAACTTAGTACCGGCTTGTACTTGTATGCTTCCTGTGTTTAGCCTACCATCATCAGATGGTGGGCTATTCAAATGGCCCTACATGTGTGGTCAGTCGTCTGTCCATCATCCGTCCATAAACAACTTCTTTTATCGCATTTGATTTGGGGACTAATTATAAAAAACAAAATGGCTGACAGGTGGCCATCTTGGGTTTTGACTTTTCAAGTTTTTAACACTATTTCTTGAGATCTACCACCTAGATCTTTCTCAAAATTCATACATATGTTCCCTTTCGTCTGTACCTGTTTGATTTTTGGGCCAAAATGACTTCCAGGAGACCATTTTGGACAGTGTCCTGTAAAAAGTTCACTCTTTGACTTGGAATCAAAGTAAATGTATTTGTCTAAGTATCATTTCATGTCTTACTGTGTCAACATTTATCACAGTGTGTCAAGATGTAAGCTCTGGTGTCCTACGTTTGTCATTTTATGTCATAATGTGTCAATAAGTAAGCCCTGGTATCCTACTTTTTTCATTTAATGTTGGAGTATGTCAACGTTTGTCATAGTGTGTCAATATGTAAGCCCTGGTATCCTATGTTTGTCATTTTATGTGTGTGTATGCCCAGTCGATGTATAGAATAGTTGATACTAAGAACTATTTGTCATTGAATTCATCTTTTTCCTATGCCATCAAATGATAAACTGTAAATCACCTAGATTTTAGGAATACTTTATTTAGCAAACTTACCTCTTTATACATTTTTGCGAATACATGATTTTCATGGAAGCTGATCTAGAAGCGACTTTTAATTCAAGAATACTCAGCTATTAGAGATCTGCACTCTTCAATACTCCAGAGTTTTTCTCGTACAAATAATAGTGAGGCATTTTAATTCCCGATTGGCTCTCCTGGCATATCAACACGAAAACCAATCTTACGTAAAATATTAACGATTTACAATAGACGGCAATCAGTGTGCTATATGTCCAAATACTTATCAGGCCTATGGAGGAAATAATAAATGATATGAGAATGCCATGTATATCAATAGGTTTGCCTCAATATGTCAGTGTTTTTGTTTATGGGCATATTTACACAAAGGTTTTCCTTTCGAGAAAATTTAAGTTTACTTTTTTGGAAGTTTGTATCTGATAAAGTTCTGATTTTGATGTTTGGATGGTTACATGTGTAATCATTACACCACTGGAATAAATACTGATATTCTCTAATGTTTGTGTGATATTGATCACACTCACTACTCTACAAACATAGATGGATATTTTAATTTCAAATTCTGAATTACTCTTCCAGCATTCTCTGCAGATTAGCGGAAATGCATTGGGTCTTTTTTTATATTTTAATAGGATGTATATATATATGTTGAAGATGTGCACCTCCTATTATGGATTAATTCCCAACGTTTTTTCTTGATACTCAACAAATGAAACAACCTTAATTGTCTTATAAATACCATATAACATTGCACTCATCCCGCAACCCAGCCAATTGTGGCTTTGTCCCATTTTTTGTTAATTTCAGGCTAGATCACATACTAACAAGTTAATGTACACCATCTATATGAATACATGGATAGAATTATAGCCATGACAGAACTATTTGTACAGTATTGCATTATAGATAACTGTTACAAATTATATCATATAAATAAATATCTGTAACAAATTATACCACACAAATAAATATCTGTAACAAATTAACACACAAATATCTGTAACAAATTATACCACACAAATAAATATCTGTAACAAATTATAACACAAATGAATATCTGTAACAAATTATACAACACAAATAAATATCTGTACCACAAATTATATAAATATCTGTAACAAATTATACCACACAAATAAATATCTGTAACAAATTATACCACACAAATAAATATCTGTAACAAATAATACCACAAAATATCTGTAACAAATTATACCACACAAATAGATATCTGTAACAAATTATACCACACAAATAAATATCTGTAACAAATTATACCACACACACAAAATAAATATCTGTAACAAATTATACCACACAAATAAATATCTGTAACAAATTATACCACACACACAAATAAATATCTGTAACAAATTATACCACACAAATGAATATCTGTAACAAATTATACCACACAAATGAATATCTGTAACAAATTATACCACACAAATAAATATCTGTAACAAATTATACCACAAAATATCTGTAACAAATTAACACACAAATATCTGTAACAAATTATACCACACAAATAAATATCTGTAACAAATTATACCACACAAATAAATATCTGTAACAAATTATACCACAAATTATACCACACAAATAGATATCTGTAACAAATTATACCACAAAATATCTGTAACAAATTATACCACACAAATATCTGTAACAAATTATACCACACAAATAAATATCTGTAACAAATTATACCACACAAATAAATATCTGTAACAAATTATACCACACAAATAAATATCTGTAACAAATTATACCACACAAATAAATATCTGTAACAAATAATACCACACAAATAGATATCTGTAACAAATTATACCACACAAATAAATATCTGTAGCAAATTATACTACTTAATAGATACACAGAATCTCACCACAAAAATAGGTTCCTGTACAGAATTTCATCACATAAATAGGTACTTGTACAGAATCTCACCACAAAAATAGGTTCCTGTACAGAATCTCACCACATAAATAGGTACTTGTACATAATCTCACCACAAAAATAGACAATTGTACAGAATTCTATCACAAAAATAGGTTCCTGTACAGAATCTCACCACAAAAATAGGTTCTTGTACAGAATCTCACCACAAAAATAGACAATTGTACAGAATCTCACCACAAAAATAGGTTCTTGTACAGAATCTCACCACAAAAATAGACAATTGTACAGAATCTCACCACAAAAATAGGTTCTTGTACAGAATCTCACCACAAAAATAGACAATTGTACAGAATCTCACCACAAAAATAGACAATTGTACAGAATCTCACCACAAAAATAGACAATTGTACAGAATCTCACCACAAAAATAGACAATTGTACAGAATCTCACCACAAAAATAGACAATTGTACAGAATCTCACCACAAAAATAGACAATTGTACAGAATCTCACCACAAAAATAGACAATTGTACAGAATCTCACCACAAAAATAGGTTCCTGTACAGAATCTCACCACAAAAATAGACAATTGTACAGAATCTCACCACAAAAATAGACAATTGTACAGAATCTCACCACAAAAATAGGTTCCTGTACAGAATCTCACCACAAAAATAGGTTCTTGTGTAGAATTACTTCACTTATTTGTACAGTTCCTTAAATGTAAATGCTAGAACAATATAAACATGTGTTTCACCCCGACAACTTCTCTTCCTTGCCACCAATATTTGATGAAATGTTATATGAAAAAAAAACAAAAAGAGAAAAATGAAACTTGGAATGTAAGAATTGAAAAATTAGAAAAAAAAAGGTAAAAAAACAGAAGGGATATCAATTCCTTGTATTGTAATCACCAAGAAATAAAAACAGTTTAATATTCTTTTGGTAACAGAATTGAAGGATTCCTCTGGGATTTTGCCAGATCAGAAATTGCATTATGCATCACATTTCTTGTGTTTATCAGTGTTGTATCTGAGTTTCATTGAGTTCTATGCCATTGAATGACACAATTTTCGGAATCCATTCAATCATTATGCTGCCACGTTGGATCATATTGTTAATTAGTGGGAAAATCTTAATTGAAAAATTCTCAGACAGAAAGGAAATGGGACAGAAGATGACAGATAGATGAATACCCAACTCAAGATATTACTTTTATTGCCAACTTATCATACACATCTTTAATTTGACTGATACCATCAACGATATCCAATTATTATTAATTTCTCATGTCTTCTCGATTTTAATTTTATTCGTATTTGGCAGTGATTTATTCGTCCTGGTAGTACTGTAAATACGACATGACAATTCTCATACAGTGTTAACACAGAAGAGCTCCAATTATAGTACCCTCTAGTGAGTAGATTGATATTGCATCTGCCAGAAATGTCACGTCACTAGTGTCTGATAATATACTGTTATCCATGGCCATCTTACATTGGAGAATTATGCTATGGCAACTGTTACCATGGAAAATGACCTATCACATGATTGTGTGAAAGTTATCACACTGTTATTGTTAGAACGTCCTTGATTAGTTGTCAGAGGTATTGCTATCAGGGTTACCTATGACTGTACAGGTGTTATGTTGTGTCACTTTTGACACTGTGACAAAACTATTGTTATTGAAGTACCTATGAATGTTCAAATATGACAAACGTCAATTTACCTTCTTTAACTTTTGTTATGATTATGAATGGTGCTAAACATTTCAATGAATTATGGGTAAAATTGGTTTGAAAACATCCCTTTATCACACTGGTTAGATAACGTATTTATCAATTTTACTGTTAGATACAGGTACCAGGTGGATGAGTGATTACTATATACATGAAACACGCCCCAGATGATTAGTTTCTGACAGTGTTGTGTAATGCTACGTCGGATGATGTCATTCAATATCAATTTGTCACAAAACGATAATGGATTAATGACGGACTTTTTTGTGTGTGTAAATTTGCATATAGGCGAATGACAAACACACATTGTTCCACTTTGTAGGACAATGTTTTCTTTTGTTTAATCATGTGTTGCCAGGTTTAGATATTATAGGCCGATTTTCTAATGATCACACACCATTTCAAAGACGCACTTCACCAAAGCATTAGTCCCACTACACATGTGGTTTAACACATGGTCTGCTGCTGATGTTGATTTCAAACGAAACAGCACAGCATGTCATTTGCTAACACATCATTTTCAAACAGGAATTCACATACTAGAACGTGGTTGGCTTTTCACATTATTAATGGATTAAAAGTTTCCTTGAAAGGACATCAAACAGAAATCAATTGTATGTTTCAAATTACAATGTGGTAGCTCATCAAAATTTGTTGTGCAATTGTTCGCCTTTTATAATTGAATATTAGCGGATGTCATTAGTCATGATGGCAGACTAAGGTTCGAGATGTGACTACTACCCAAGTGTTTAACAGCAGTTTTGTTGTACAAACTATCTCATTTCAGAATGCACCAGTAAACAATGCTTATCATAACAGTCAAACCAAGGAAGTACTTGGTATCAAATGGTCAACTGAAGACACATCCACTTCATTAGAATAAACTTTAATTTTTATAGTTTTTATTTTGAAAGATTTAAAAAAAAAATAGGAAATTTAAATCTTTAAATCATTAAGCTGTAGAAGGGAACATGTACATTGTATTAAATTTCTGTGTCATTTGTACAATTAATCACCATTCTTTAATCATACTTGATAGATTTTCACATTTCATATGCACATAGAAAATTATGACGTGATGTTTTGATGACTGTGTTGTAAACTTAACGAGACAATATAGTCAATGAAATGTCACACACTCATTTTCAAAGTTATTGTGATACATGAAAATCTGTTCCATATACTTACCAATATGATTTTATTGTTTCTTTGATCATTACAATAGATTTTGTATTTTTTATTGTTTTATGCTGTAATGTAATGTTTATTTATCCAGCTTGCTTTTGTTGAAAATCTACAGTAGTCTCAACTTTCTTGTCCTGGTTTCATTGATACTTAAATGTCACATGACAGCAACAAAAATCTATGAGATCGTTTATCATAATTTAGGAGACTGGTAAAGCTTGTTAGTCTCTTGCTGAAACTAGAAAATGTCAGCCTGTTATTGAAATGGTACATAAATATGGATTCTCAAGGTACTTCTGACAATAATAAGACGTTCTGAAGATGCAAAATCAAATTGTAAACATTAAACCTACCCCCTCCCCACTGCTGCCAAAAAAATGACAAAAGGGGCTATAATTTTTAGCCCACTATCGTCAGATGGTGGGCTTTCCAAATTGCTCTCCGTCTGTGGTCCGTTGTCCCTCCATCTGTAAGCAATTTTTGTTATCGCTATTTCTTGTGAAGTCCTTGATGGATCTTTCTCGAATTGCACATGTACGTTTCCCTTGGTCCCTAGTTATGCCCATTTGATTTTGGGACTGATAAAAAAAAAACAAAATTGCGGAAAGGCAGCCATCTTGGATTTTGACTTTGAAAGTTTGTTATCGCTGTTTCTTGAGAAGTAATTGATGGATTTTTCTTAAATTTCTTATGTAGGTTCCCCGTTGTCCATAGTTGTGTCAATTTAATTGTGGGTCTGATTAGAAAAACAAAATGGCTGAGAGGTGGCCATCATGAATTTTGACTTTGAAAGTTTGTTATTTCTTTTTTTTTTTTTTTTTTGCTTTTTCTTAAGAAGTACTAAATGGATATCTCTCAAATTTCATATGTATGTTCCCTTTGATCTCTCCTTGTGCTCATTTGCTTTTGGGATTGATCAGAAGAAACGAAATGGCTTCCAGGTGGCCATTTTGGATTTGGCAGGTAAAGATTATCATTTATTTTTGCAAAGAAATGTTCAAATGTCTTATCATTAAGAGCAAAACAGAGAAGGGGAAAAAAGGGAAAAGATCCAACTTTCAAAGAGCATATAAAGATCTAACAGTGGTGGATGCCAAGATCCCTCTTGGATCTCTGGTTTATTTTTCAGGGTATCATTTATTTCATTTAGAACTGGAATATGATTAAAATCAAGTTGTAATATCAAGTAAATGCCATTGTTTATAAAGTACATATGCACCTTTTAGAAATGATACAGGTGACTGCTTACAGATTTTTACTGGGTTTTTTTCAGACCTCAATAGATTACATTAATACAAGAAGGATATTAACATTGCGACGTCTATGTTTATTACCTGTTGTGCGTCAGCAGTAAGTGTTTCATTGAAATTATTCACGTTATCTTGTCCCGGTCTTTGTATCCAGTGTAGAGCATGCAGCACTAATTTCAGGGCCTGATAAAATCAAACGACCAGGGTGGAAAGAAAAAATACCCGATGAGTTCAATAAGTGATAATATTACATTATGAAATTGACACCTGTGATGAATGGCCTGAATTTTAGCTATAGATCTAAAGTGAATTTTAGTGAATAATTAACACCCCGAGTTTATTGCCCACCTGCGGAAGAGACTGTGTCTCGGATTCACTAGGTATTTGAGATCGTTGGGGAACGCCTCATGAATAATTCTGATGAATATTCATATGTGTTTTTAGTAATGGTTGTTTGTCAGGATTTCCACTGTAGTTTATGACTGGACACTATGCATGTTAGATGTCTTTAGAATTTTGTGTTTTAGTTTTATATCAGAATCAAATTACACAACTCATTGTTTTATTCTCTCAATGTTATCTGTTTCCTTTGTTTTCCCAACACAATTCAGGAAATATTAATATTTTATGACATTTTTTTCTAGAAAAACAGTCATTTCATACTGCATAACAAACATTACAAGTCATTTCACAAATTCATGAAATATGAAATTATTTATTTCATTTTATAGTCTATGAATTCACTTTGTGATATCAAGCATTGTAAAATAGTCATATTTCATGGTAATAAAGAAGAAAAAAAATATTTTAAAAAACTTTTTTTATAACGGATGCTTAGTAATTTCACTTTTGATATGTTATTGAACATAACTTTGAAACTCACACCCTATCATGTGAATGACTGATTCTGGACATGGCATTTGAGCAGCTTTATCAACAGCTCTTCACCTCTGGGTTGTGGGTTGAGACCTACTTGGGTCAGACACAAGTACTGCCTGGCAGGTCGGTGTTTTTTCTCCAAGAAATCCAGCTTTCCTCCACCAGCCAAACATGGCATGACCCTAAATGGACCTGGCTGTTAATTGGATGTAAATTAACAAAAAAAAACAAAACAAATCTTAATATTTTGTATTGATTTCCATCTCAGGAGGGAAGTATCTCATGCCACATTAGTTCAATATTATATCTAGACCTAGAGGTAGATTATCTTTAAATATCATAAGTTGGCTCTATTGTCCCATTTCTACCCAGTCCAGAGCAGAGCTTCGCATTTCTCATCTATATGTAGAAGTAGAGGTAGGTATTAGTCTGAAGCTTTATAGCAAACAGTTCTAGTTTGAGGAAATTAATCTCAGCATTGATGTATAGATGACAATGCAGACATGTATCTTGTTTTTATTTTTCTGATTTTTCTTTTATTTCAGGTATATAATGGGAGAAGAGGGCTACTGTTTGACATCATTGCAAACAGCACTGGCCTACCTCATTTCTCTAGGAATAGTGGACTAGTCATAAACCTCATCTCCCTAGGAATAGTGGACGAATCATAGACCTCCTCTCCCTAGGAATAGTGGACAAGTCATAGACCTCCTCTCCCTAGGAATAGTGGACAAATCATAGACCTCATCTCCCTAGGAATAGTGGACAAGTCATAGACCTCCACTCCCTAGGAATAGTGGAAAAGTCATAGACCTCATCTCCCCAGGAATAGTGGGCAAGTCATAGACCTCCTCTCCCTAGGAATAGTGGACAAGTCATAGACCTCCTCTCCCTAGGAATAGTGGACAAGTCATAGACCTCATCTCCCTAGGAATAGTGGACAAGTCATAGACCTCCTCTCCCTAGGAATAGTAGACAAGTCATAGACCTCCTCTCCCTAGGAATAGTGGACAAGACATAGACCTCCTCTCCCTAGGAATAGTGGACAAGTCATAGACCTCATCTCCCTAGGAATAGTGGACAAGTCATAGACCTCATCTCCCTAGGAATAGTGGACAAGTCATAGACCTCATCTCCCTAGGAATAGTGGACAAGTCATAGACCTCATCTCCCTAGGAATAGTGGACAAGTCATAGACCTCCTCTCCCTAGGAATAGTGGACAAGTCATAGACCTCCTCTCCCTAGGAATAGTGGACAAGTCATAGACCTCCTCTCCCTAGGAATAGTGGACAAGTCATAGACCTCATCTCCCTAGGAATAGTGGACAAGTCATAGACCTCCTCTCCCTAGGAATAGTGGACAAGTCATAGACCTCCTCTCCCTAGGAATAGTGGGCAAGTCATAGACCTCCTCTCCCTAGGAATAGTGGGCAAGTCATAGACCTCCTCTCCCTAGGAATAGTGGACAAGTCATAGACCTCCTCTCCCTAGGAATAGTGGACAAGACATAGACCTCCTCTCCCTAGGAATAGTGGACAAGTCATAGACCTCATCTCCCTAGGAATAGTGGGCAAGTCATAGACCTCATCTCCCCAGGAATAGTGGACAAGTCATAGACCTCATCTCCCCAGGAATAGTGGACAAGTCATAGACCTCATCTCCCCAGGAATAGTGGACTAGTCATAGACCTCATCTCCCTAGGAATAGTGGACAAGTCATAGACCTCCTCTCCCTAGGAATAGTGGACAAGTCATAGACCTCCTCTCCCTAGGAATAGTGGACAAGTCATAGACCTCCTCTCCCTAGGAATAGTGGACAAGTCATAGACCTCATCTCCCTAGGAATAGTGGACAAGTCATAGACCTCATCTCCCTAGGAATAGTGGACAAGTCATAGACCTCATCTCCCTAGGAATAGTGGGCAAGTCATAGACCTCCTCTCCCTAGGAATAGTGGACAAGTCATAGACCTCCTCTCCCTAGGAAAAGTGGACAAGTCATAGACCTCATCTCCCCAGGAATAGTGGGCAAGTCATAGACCTGATCTCTGTAGGAATAGTGGACAAGTCATAGACCTCATCTCCCTAGGAATAGTGGACAAGTCATAGACCTCATCTCCCTAGGAATAGTGGACAAGTCATAGACCTCATCTCCCTAGGAATAGTGGGCAAGTCATAGACCTGATCTCTGTAGGAATAGTGGACAAGTCATAGACCTCATCTCCCTAGGAATAGTGGGCAAGTCATAGACCTGATCTCTGTAGGAATAGTGGACAAGTCATAGACCTCCTCTCCCTAGGAATAGTGGACAAGTCATAGACCTCCTCTCCCTAGGAATAGTGGACAAGTCATAGACCTCCTCTCCCTAGGAATAGTGGACAAGACATAGACCTCATCTCCCTAGGAATAGTGGAACCATCTTTTAGGACCTGCCTTACCTTTCAACCGTTAGTTTACCAGTCTTAGGACCTGCCTGATCTCACTAATGAGACCATATATTCCTAGGAATAGCGTACATGTCTTAGGACCTGCCTTACCTTTCAAGGGTCAGTGGACCACTCTTGTGACCTTCCTGGTCATACACAAGATAGCAGACCAGTCAAAGATCTTATCTTTGCAGGGATAGTTGACCTGTTTCAGGACCTATCTCATCTTCCTAAGGATGATGGACAAGTCATATGACCTGCCTCAACTTACAAGGGATTGTGGATCAGTGTTGTAGGACCAACTCACCTTCAAAGTGATACTGGCCATTCATAGGATCTACCATACCTTCTGAAGGTTAGTGGACCAGTTATAGGATCTATTTTACCTTCCATGGATAGTGGAGTATTTGTTGAAGCTACACCTCTTCCTAGAGTCTTAATGAACCAGTCAAAGGATCTATCTCGCCTTCTAAAGGATAGTGGACTAGTGGCAGAACCTCGGTCACCTTCTAAGGGATAGTGGACAAGTCATAATATAATTTTCCACTCCTGAGACGTAATGGTCCATTTCTTCAAAAGACACAGTGGACCTGTCATTTTACCCTACACACCTCCAGAACCTAACCTGCAATTTCAATCTTTTAGATCTACTTATGCATGTTTGACCATTATTTCTAGGACTGTCTGTACCTGTTATGTGTTATATACAGGTCACTGAACCAGGTGACATGTCCTCTGTGTGTAAGTGACCATTATGTTGTGCAATTACAGTTACCATTTAACCTTCTGTGAACATTACAGGGCATGTAAAAAAAACAAAAAAAAAGGAGTTAATTTGATACACAGTATACCTACGTACCTTTGACATCAACTGACCAAATGACGACAATAGTCTTCAGATACACAGCCTGAAATAACTAGGGAATAACAGAGCTGAAAAAGGATATTCCTGCTTAACTTCTTCAATACAAGATTCACAACTTATCAAGCAGCCCTCGTATCTATTTGTTTGATAGGTTGTCAGAGTTAACTAGATTTAAACACCAAATTTACAGACCATCAGCATCAATGATACGTCACCTTAGTAAATTGACATGGAAAGTTTTAGATGTAAGGTTTAAACATTGGTACATGTATTCATTATACCTGTATCTGTTTTCAATTAAAACAACAAAAATGTATGGTTTCTGTACATTGTTATAATCATAGAGGTTTTGATTCAACAAAGCATGGTTTACGGTACCATAAATGACATCAGTGCATGATCATTATTACGACGTGGATATTTGACATGGAAAGAGTGACAGTTCACCATCACAATGGCTGTTCCAATTGACAGATAATACTGTAGATTACAAATAATTTGTTTAAGTCAAACTCCAGCTTAAGGCCGTGATATGTGTTGAGAACGTAAATACATGTATAAGTGTGTTGAAAAGCTCTGTCATTTGGAATGACTAGAAATGACTTAACTAGATCAATTTTGAAATAATTCTGCAGATTAGAATTTGAGAAAAAAAGGAAAGGATGAAAAGAGATTAAAAAAAGACAATTCTATTGAGATAAATGTGTTATAAATTTTGTTCTGTATAATGTAAATCTATTACTACATATTTACACTCCAAGGTTACATGGACACAATGAAACCCTAGTCAACAGCTACTCGCTGAAAGTATTTAACAACAGAGTTTTTTGTAATTCTGTACAAAAATAGTATGATGCATGAATTTTTAATTGTAATTGTACATGATGACTGGATTGTGTGACTTATATACTTCACTTTATTTCATACCTGTAGGGACCAAAAACAAACTGAAGGCATTCATTAACCAACCATTAACAAACTCCATAAATATATTGTTTATAGCAGCCAGAAAATGTGACGACCTTGATCATGTGGTTCATTACTTGGGGTTACTTATGTGAGTCTACCTGGAACTACTTGATGTATCTATATTAATGATATATAGTACCTAAGATATAATTCACCAGGAGATCAAAGAGAGTCAGCTAAATCATCTATACATTATTTACTACCAATCAAAGTTGGGAGGCTGAATGATCCATACTATAATCTCGCGTCTGAAGCAGACCTATTTACTGGGAAGTAATTGTTATTGCCTACTTGTTTGCTACGCGTGGGAGCACAAAGTCAATAGAATATGACCATCTTTGTGGCCACATAGTGTTGACGTTTAACTAGTTTTTAAAAACACATAAAGATCTAAGAGATTCAGTAACACAGCTACTCATTAATTAGTGTTAATTTTATGAGTGACTTTGTGACTAAATCAAAGAGGTTGGATTAATGGATCTATATATAATTAATAGCCTGAATAGCTGATGGTTGCGAGCAGGACGAACCTTGTATAGTGTGCTGCAGGAACAGCGTTGATGTACACTTTGCATGCTCTATACCTCCTCTGGGCAAAACGAAACATTAAAGGAATTTTATGTTTTATGCTCTCTAGATTCTTGCCAACATTAGCTGGCTGCCTTTTGAATACCGACCTTGATCTTATTTTTGAGCCTATATGACTGAGATCAGCGGGAGAAGAAAGGGTAATCAAATTAGTGCGATTAAGAGTATACACGCTTGTTTATTACATTCTGTTAATTCAAGTGTGGAAGAATGTCAGGTATTGAATAATAGAATAAGAGATGATTGAATGTCGGATATTGAATTCTGATGAATGTTTCTGTTATATTGTAAAGTTTTGAATAATTGAGAGATGATTGAATGTCTGGATATTGAATTCTGATGAATGTTTCTGTTATATTGTAAAGTTTTGAATAATTGAATATGAGATGATTGAATGTCTGGTATCAGATGTTTCTGTTATATTGTAAAGTTTTGAATAATTGAATATGAGATGATTGAATGTCTGGTATTGAATTCTGATGAATGTTTCTGTTATATTGTAAAGTTTTGAATAATTGAATATGAGATGATTGAATGTCTGGTATTGAATTCTGATGAATGTTTCTGTTATATTGTAAGAATAAGGTATAAACTGGTAATACATGTATCAGATATTTAATTAGTGAATATATCTGTTAATTAATTGAATGAGAGATCACAGCATATTTATGTTATAAATGTATAAACATCTCTGGTACAACTTCTGTATTTTTCCTGTTCATATCATTTCGTTACGTTAATTATGATATATTGTTTATTTTAAGTTGAATATTCCTGTTTGTCAAGTTTTCAATTTCTAGACATAAGCTATTTGTTTTAATACTACTCTAATTGTTATTATGTGGTTCTCTTTATTGAAATATAGGTATCAGCAGATACTAAGCCATGTTATGTAATCTTGTTAAATGTAGATGATTAATTCTTGTCACAGTCAATGTTTCATTTTTTATCATCCCATAACATAACAAATGTTATCATGCTTTAGATATTGCTTTGGAATAGTATAGTAGAGCCACGTTGTAATTTCTGTGAGGAAAGAATCTTCATGCTGTGTTAAAGAAAATGATAAAAATCTTAAAGCTGTGAATGATTTTGTTACATGAAGAATTATAACACAAAGTAAAGAAATGATTGAAGACAACCAGGTGTATTGATAATTTTGTGACTGTTTCTTTATACGAATTTGGGATGCGTTGATCAGTATGATTTAAATATATTAGTAATAACAATTACATAAATGGATAATCTGTTATAACTGGACAGATAAATGAATGTGAAAGTGTTTAAATATACTGTAACACTTACCTGTGTAACAGGAGCAGAAAAATACAAGATCAGGCCAGGGTTTGAACTAAGGATCCTTCAAACTCTAGACGGATATTCTAACAATTGAGCTACAGTCTTGTTGCTGACAACCAACCTGGTCTAATTCAGCTACATTTTCTCCTCCATTTACTAACTATTCACCCCTAAAGACAACTATTTACTACCCAGGTTTGAGTATTCCTTTGTAAAGCATTCTTCTTTAAACAGAAGTTGGTTACA